TAAATGTTGACAAAATCCAAGTAAATCAACTTAGCGACGATCTCTCATTGTGCGTCTGCTTAAGATATTTTAAATTCCTGCAATGGAAAGGGGTACACTTATAATTTGAGCAAATTGGTATCAACCCGAAATATCCTCATTCAGACAAATTCCCCGTATGAAAGGAGATTTGAGTAGTGGTGAAAAGCAGGTTCTTAATTTTGGTAGGTTCTATTGTTAAAACAGTAGAAAATGAAAGATAGAGAAGGAATAAATAACCACTTTAAAAAGACGAAATTCATCGATTTAACAAAAGTCCAAACTTTTAGTGGAGCTTACCAATGCTACAAGTATGCGATACGTGTTCTTCAACATTTGCGTTAACCTGGTGCACAAAATCATGCCACCAATAGATCGGTTCTTGGCTTAAAAACAGTTACATATTTTTTTGTGAATTGTGTTGGGGAATTGCCCCCCGGGCCTCTGGTAGCAAGTATGTTGAGATCAGTGGTGTACACTTTGGGACAATTTAAAAGTCTTCACGCTTTCAATGAGCTGTCTTTTCTAAATGAAATCACAAAAACTAAACATAAAATGCTACTATGCTACTATGCAACACGGCATAATCCCAGTCCACCTGCGTTTGTGGATTAGTCAAATCTATCGAGGCTTCTCTGAAGAAGAAAAAATACGCGATACTCAATTCAAATACGTATTGTTGACTTACGAAGGAGGTTGGCGGCCACTGGCGTGGCCTAAAAGCTCAACTACCCAGCAAAGGTACAATGGCGGAGCCCTAATTATCCTTGAGACCAAAATGAAGAGTTTAACGGAAAAGAGCCCTCAAGATTTTGTGGGTTGGCGACACCACTTACTATTAGAGTGTTACCAGCCAAAGCAAAGGGCGAGAGAAAGCTGAAGAAGGAAGTGTCAAAACCCCAGAGCTAATTCAAGATGTGACTTCAATGGCATCCAGGAGGAATATGTTGTGCATGGAATCTACTCGATAATTCAAGATCGGCAAATTGCTCTTCAAACCTCTGCTCGCTTCCTCTTCAAGCCGCATGCGCACAGGAGAGATAATTGTTAATATGGATATGCAAATGAGAGACGAAAGAGGCATCCACTTGACGGGCCAAGGGAAAGCGTGAAATCATCAGTTTTACAAAAACAATTTATCAGTTCACTCGGAAATAGAGGGAGAGGAAGAGAGAGTTTCTGTTTAACTAGCTAGTCTTCTACAAGGTGGCGTGGACTTACTGATGACTAAGAGACGATTAGTCAAGTTGGCGGTTCCTCTGACGTAGTGTTGCTGACGGTATACCCCTTTCCGCTCTGCATTCGAATGAAGTGTTTATCTTACCGTGCTCATATTTCCCAGTGGAAGTAGTAAACAATGACTCCGAAAGGCGGACGTCCATAATGCAGTCCTAGCGATAGCACCCAATAAAAAATTAAGAATAACTACGCTAAACGATTCCGTTTGTGGCTTTACATTCTTTTGTTGAACGGAACTATGTGAGTACAAATCAGGGAAAAGGAAATAAAAGAGTTTGTGGTGATGTAGTTACTACTGCAACACTTTATTATAATACGAGAGGAGATGACTCAAAAGGGAGAGTTTTTCTGAATCTTCTGATTTAATATACAGACCTACTAATAGGATGTGAACATATATGTCAAAGCACATTAGTCGAAACTCCTCAACTAAATGTGAGGTTTTATTAAACAAGACATTCATCCTCTGCTCATTTAATGGAAGAAAAGGGGAACAATAAGAAGGAAAGATAGAATAAAATTAATAAAAGGAAGCTCTCTTAGTGTTCTCTCAACTTAAAGTTAGTCTAGTGTGAATTGGAACTTGATTGTCAGATTGCTTGACGTGTCACAAAAGGTATTTCAAAAAAAATTTTCTAATCAGTCTTCCTTAAATTAGTAATTAAATAACAATTTAATTAAGTCTACTAATTGTCTAGCTCCTTATGACAAATTTGGAATGTATATAACGCTATATTTGGAACAACCTAATTCATTAACAATAAAGGTTTAAATGTGACTGCAAGGTAGACTATTTATAAATTGCTACAGTGAGACAACATTATTTGATAGGGAATTTAAATGAGCGGGTTTTTCAGTTTCCTGCGGCTTGGCCATTATGGCAGACCCATAGGTTCCTCCCTTCTATAGGTTTTTTCCATATCTGCCCACCATTGCGGTCTCAAAAGTGACTTGAGACGCTACATTAGGGGCAACAGTAAATGATTCCGTTCCGCTTTGAATGGTAGAAGCTGTGTCAATTCATTATAAAAGATCTGTCGAAACGGCGATGACTAAATCATCCGCCCTAATGTCGAGGTCTGCATAACGGCCAAAAACCAAGCAAAAGTGGATTTTAAAGAATGTATAACGCCTCTCAAAGAAACGCTTGCAGTGTTGCCATGATCACAGCAAATTACATCCTGATTTAGAGTTAAGGTATTTTTTCCCCTATGCGCATTCTCCCACTATAAAGAAGTGGCATGTGGAATGTGATTACCTCAAAAAATCCTCCAACCTCTAATTTGGCTTTCAAATGGATTCGCTTTACAGATTTTGCCCACCAGAGAGCCTCACTTTCAAAAAATAACAAAATCCACAACTTATACTCAACAACTGAAATAGCCTTTTTCCACAATGCAAATGTCCCATCGGCCTCGTTGACGTTTAACTGGCGCTTGCATTCCTTGAAGTCATTTCAGTTATATTCGGGGTATCATTAGAATAAGCACAAAACCCATATACACCTTTTTGGATAGAAGATCTCATTTTTATAGAAAGATTAAGTCATTGTGCTTTTTTTGTTTCGAGGTCATTAAAAGGTCATGGCAGAGTAAGCGTCGAATGGTTATAGCTCGTCAACGGACTTGCTCCCAGCATTTTAACATCTGATACTTTGGAACAGTTTAGCAGGATAATTATGAATTTTCAACATAAAAATCCCACTGACTAAAAAATTAGAATAGTATGCATTATTTATTGTACACCTTGGTTGCAGGTGTTAGGGTGAAGGGGAGAGCGGAGGGGAGGGAAGAGAAGGCAAGTGGATGAAAAGTGAGCTGTCACAACCGCACAAAACGGCTTCATGTTTTATGCAGAGCACGACTCACTCAAAATTCCGACAGAGCACAGCGAAAGGGCGGAGTGGGACACCGACCTGCCCACGCCGAAGCACTCCATGTCTTTGCGGAATGCCCTTAGGTGAAAAGAAAAGGCAGCATATTGCATAAAACCGGAAGGATCTCATTGTGCTTTTTTGGCAATAAAGAAGCAGCAATTAATCTCGCGGAGGATTGTAATTTTCGATATGACGCCATGAATCGTAACACTTGCTCCCATGGTAAGAAGGATAATAAATATCGGGGTAACCTTGACCAAAAACTTGTCCGAAAAGCGGATCTGAAGGAAACGTCTTCAATGGCTATAAATGCTTAAAGTCTTGGTCTATTTAATAAAGACATAAATCCCTGTCTTTGTAAGTGTGCTACAATAGGCAAATCGCCACAGGCTTGCAAATCCAAACATCTAGAATAAAAAGGTAGAACTTTGATTGTAAACCAAGCTTAGAAATACAAAATAATGGGGTTTTCGTATAAAATAAACCGACTTGTATGAATAATACACAAGCTTATTCAGTACAAGCGTTGTACGCATGTGTCGCCCTGAGTTTTTGCCTGAACCCGCCGTCACAGTTATATGATATACTAATTTACCAGTCTGACACATATTTGCACCAAATCGTGCTGCGAGCAAGTCGAATAAATTCAAAAGAAGAAAGGAGTGGTCAAGTGTTTTCCTACCAAAGATGACTACACTTCCTCAATTTTCGAGCAGAAGTCTAATGGGCTAAGAATTTAATGGCAATCGGAGTCATATTAGAATAACTGAATGCAATATTTGTGTTTCTTAAATGTTCCTTTCAGGGAGGAAGCGAGCATATTAATCGGACCTTGTGACTGAGGAGTCAACGCCCAGCAACCCGGAGAAAGGTTCGTGTCCACACCTCCCTGAACTCGTGCTCACTCTCCACACTTACCTAACCCAATAAACATAACAAAACCGAATCAACCTGGGTGTTCCAAGAGTATGGGGTCCAGGGAGGGGAAGATCTATGAACCTTGTCCTACATGAACTTCCAAACTGCGGAAGTTCACACTTCCCTAGTGGCCCTTCATAACGAAAGCGTAGATATTACTCTGTAGTTAGGTAAAATTCCTCTTCCTAATAAGTAGTCCTATAAACAATCGTTTCAAAAATATGTAGTATTAATATTAACTTTTTTGGAATGCTTAAGTTTTAAGCTACGAAAAGTGAAGGTTGAACGCTTCCTATAGTTGAATACCGCTGTTGTTAAATGCAGCTGCTGGAGATTCTACCACTACCTAACAAAAAAGTATAATGGCATTTTACAAGCTTGAGGTAAAAAATGTAGCATGCACATCAAAGTGTGTACGGATTTTCTCAAAATTGGGGAAGCAAATTTGGCTTAAAGATATCGGAAGCTTGAAAGAGTGAACCTAAAAATAAAGTGAAAACAGAGCAGACAAAAGAAATTAATCGTCAAAATTTACAACAGCTTAAAATTTCTACAATAACTAGGTTTCAATAACACCGTACCTGAGGACTATAAGTGAGTAATTAACTGATGTGAAGAAATCATAATGCTCGATTAATCGCCGTGTCGGCAAAATTAAACCGTATTTTTGGCACGCAAAAACGCGCACATTTTCTAGACGACGAAACAGCTTTCCATTTATTTTGGTGCATGATACTTCACTCTGTTCTAAGTTTAAGACTTATATTGATAAATGACTAAGTAACGTTTCATTACTGTTTAAGTTATTAGCGCACTCATAAACTTTTGGCAGCATTAGTAGGAATTGACCAAACGGTATTTGTAGATATCTAGTAGGTTGTTTCCGATTTACGATTGCAGCCTTCTGACCTTAAAAATTTGTTTGTACCTTTATTACTTAAGCGCCTAGATGAAATTAGGGGGCCGCTGTATTTTGCAGCGGTCATTCAGAGCATATTCCACTATACGGCGTCGTACTCGAACGCGATTCGCACCAAGCCCAACAGGACCATTTCACATAGGCGGGTTGCGGACAGCTCTCGTGAATTTCCTTTTGGCTAGAAGAGATGGCGGAGATTTCATACTTCGGATTGAGGATACTGATCAAGTATGCTGGAAGCCTCTGTGTTCTTACTTCAGTCCCGATGCTCTGTAGATGCATTAAAAGGAATTTTTGATGGACTTAATTGGGCAGGAATGACGCCAGATGAGGGGCCCGTTACTGGGGGCTTATATGGTTCGTATGTTCAGGTATGGCAACTATTTAACATGTCAAAATCTGCTATGAGCACCAGTTATTACCACCATTATTTGCTTCCAGTCGGAACGTTCCGAAATTTATCGAAAGTATGCCAATCACTTGCTGCAGACTGGTCGAGCTTACCAATGTTTCTGTTCGCATGAGCGTCTTGAAATTCTGAAAAATGAGCAGCGAAGAAGTGGAGAAAAGGTCCGATACGACAATCGATGCCGTCATCTGTCGAATAGGGAGATCGAGTTGAATCTTTCCCAAAATCTGCCCTATGTTCTTCGATTCAAGGTTCCTTTGCTTTAGTCCAAATTATTTTTTTTTTGATTTTATTTGTTTTCAGCATACTTTTTATTTGTTTTCAGATGCTTCCTAGTAATACGGTGTTTAGAGACTTAGTTTTTGGCGAGATAAATTTTCCAAACGCGGATTATGAAGGTGATCCTGTAGGTTGTTTACTTTATGCAGTTAGGTTGATACTTTCATTATTCTAAGACGATAATCTTGAGATTTCGTTGTTCAAATTAAAGATATGTACTTGTTCATTTGAAACTGTCAAAAGTAGTTAATAAAAAATTGCAACATCATTTTACAAAGTACGGCAAGATTTTTTGATATTGGACATTATACAATCTGCAAAACAAATTACTTTGAATATGGGACTCCGTTTTAAACATGAATTATTTTCGGTCCATTATGTAAAATAGGGCTCGTCTACCTGAAACCACATAACATTCAGATTGATAGTAATGTTGAGCAAGCAAATTTTACCACCGAGAGCATATAGCTGATGATAACACGAAGTTGAAATATGGTAACTCCAACCAAAGGCCGTCTTTTCGTCCAGCACTTGGCGCAGAATTCCACCAACTTTCCACGTAAATTAATCAAATGCATTTCACTTCACAACGCCCCTTTGAAGGTAATAATGAAATCGGATGGGCTGCCGGTCTACCATTTAGCCAACGTCGTCGATGATCACCTGATGGAGATCAGTCACGTTGTACGTGGGTCGGTAGGTCACACGTGACACTTTTTGATCGGTCGAAACCCTCCCTCCTTCCACTTGTAATATCTCTAGGAGTGGATAACCTCAATTCCTAAACACCTACAACTCTATGCGGCCTTCGATTGGCATCCTCCGGCCTTTGCTCACCTACCACTAATGCTCTCCAGGTGGGGCTCTAGTGTTTTGTTTTTCCAAAAATGCATCTTTAGGCCTATTGTTCATTAATAGATAATTACCGAAAATTGGGTCCTAAATGGAGCATCACAAATTATACTCTTATTTCAGACTTTAAGCTCCTTCCTTTTTATCTCTCGCGTAGAGCTTAAACTTATCTCTATTCAGCTGCTGCTCTGAAGCTATTTGATTTTTCAGTCCGGTTAGTTTCTAAACTTCTCTCACCACGGAGACGGTTAATATTCGGTGCTTGCTTGTTGTTTACGTCTCTCTTCCCACTCTCCTCCCAGAAGCCCTTTTCATTTCGATTGTCAGTGGGTTATGACCCAAAAGGTGTGCAACGATGTGGTCATTCATACCTGGAGAATGCTTCTTAAGGAAATAAGCACCGCTTTACCACACAAGCAGCTCTCAGCCTATTTAAACCTTTCTTTGAGTGGTATCCACCAACCTCTGCTAATCTTTACTCGTGCTTTCTAGATGAGAGTGTAGAGATTCCCCTCTCTGAAACCAGTCCTAGCAGCAGTTATGTAATACTTCCATTTTTTCATCCATTATTGGACTATTTGCACTAAACAACTGATATTCTCTCTAAGAACTGGCATCTACTATAGTCTATCAAGCTTTCGCTAATGTGTCCTTTAGTTTCCCCAAAGGCTGGATGTCTAAAACCGACGAATACTTTTGACCATATGTTTTTTCGGCGAGGTAGATTTGGTATACTGTGCAGCAAAACGCACGGTTGATGCCATTTGTTTTTCGGCTGCAAGTGTTGGGGGCGGGCTCCTATTACTCTCATACCCTACTTAAAACGTCTTCAGAGGTAGTAGAGAAAATTGTAAATCACTAAAAATAAGCAGTACTTCATGAGTTCATGTGTTCTGCAGCTTCCGGGAAAGCTACGTATTCATTCGATTGGGCTGTTGATTAAGCAAAAGTGACGAAGTGGTACGCTATAAATATTATCCAAGTAGTAACCGTATCCATCCTCTGCCTTTGCGTGTAGTTCGGGGCGAAAATTCTCGAAACGCCACGTGGAGCAGGAATCCGTGGCGTTGGTGGAGAGCCTACGTCGCGAGGGTCATCTGCCCTCGGCCCTCCTGACGTGGCTATCGGCAACTGGCGGCCTCTTCGACTTTGCACCGTCTATCGACAAAAAATGTGAGTCAGGTATCTGGACACCGGCCAAACGTGTTGAAGAAATGCTCCACTTGGTGAGTATCTCGTGGTTTTGGGAAGGTCTTTTTGTTTTTTTTAAACGGAATGGTCTAGTGAACCTGGAAAGTAGCAGTTTGAGTGTGTCTTAAGCATGAAGCCGTGCATTCTCCATAGATTTAGCACAATCTTAAGTGTAACGTACTTACACCGACCTGCAGCGATAAGGCAGAAAATAATGTGTTCGAAACTTTTAGGAAGTGGTTCAGTGCCTAGAAGTGTTAGGTATTAACTCGCCTGTGCTGCAAGGTCTGTTGGCTCTAGTGCTTGACGAAGGTTCCAATTACAGCTGCATCATTTGAGGGACATATTATTACCTATTATCTGACAAGTTTCTGATTTATCGACTTGATTTTAATGCTTATTTATTGTTACAGTATCTTCCTTCATAATTCGCTTGAGACGTATCCACTTCCCACCGTGTTTAGGCGCTAGCTCGGCGTCACCTACCTCGAGCTTTCCATTCGGTTCACTTTCATTGACTTATTTTGCTTTCGTTGCTCACGCCCTCGCCAGCAAATAGTTCCATCAGTCAATAAGAATTTTTATTTAAAAGTCGCATGAACTAATTGCAACCTGGACATGGATTCCCAATTAAAATAGCTTCGAAAAGGTTTAATGAAAAGTGAATTTATCAAGTACAAAGTCAGGAACAGTTAAATGGGAATGTAGGAGGCATTGGCTTTTAAGAAAGTTGGATATTTCATATTTTTATGACCTAACACTACAGAGCGTTTCAGCTGACCGATTTCACCGGACAATTTCCCAAGGATTTGAATACAATCATCAGAATGTAACATGCCAACCCATTCCACATTGATTAAGTATTAATCACGGCCTTGTTAAGGTGTTTTACTCTTCCCGCAACTGCAGTTTTAGTTAAAATAACGAGAAGGTATCCACGGTCTCGCAAAAAATACTGCAGGAATATGGTTCTAGGGCACCCATGTTAAAAACATTTTGAGTAGTAAAATAACAAGGAGAGTCAAGGAGGCATCGTCACTCAGGGAAGTCAAAGCTCATTACTCAATGCCTTAATGAAATCTTCTCTAACAAAAACGGAAATTTTTGCATCAAGCTCGACCTCTCTTCGCTGAATCGTCACCACGCACGTGTGGATCCTGAGCTTCTCCAAGTCTGCGGACGGGCACACTTCGATCGACTCATCGAAGAAGCCTTCTCCAGACGATCACTGAGGCGTCCAACAATCGTGGAATACCTTCGTGATTACCTGAATACTTATCCACCGATAGATGGCGATTGTACTCAATTGTAAGCCTAGCTTTGCTGCCATTGTACCAAATTATATTTCTTGCATTTCTGATCTTGCGATGAACTAATCTGTCTATTTCAAAAATGGGCTCAATTTTACCAGAACTTATCGCGTTGTTTCAGAATAGATTTAATCAACGATGAAGAACGATTGATTCAGGTGCTGGCACGATTAAAGGGTCGGATCGGAAGATTATCTGACCTAACTTCGGTTTCTTCTGCCTTCGGCTTCCTTTGGAAGTCCCCCAATCCCGAAATTGTCAAATCCAGCCTCTCTGGATCCATTGCGATTCACGAAGCCATTTTAATGACTGCTGTAAAGTTAGAGAGGTCCGAAGAGCTTTCAGAAGATGATTTGAAGGCCCTTCTTCAAAGTGTTAATAAGTTATCTGGCCTGCCCAAAGCGGAATTCCTCACGAGTCTGCGAATTTGCCTGACCGGCTCCGATGTACGTTTGTTTTCACGACCACGGTATTAATTCTACCCTATCATTTTAAGTAGCGCTTGTGTATTTTTCAGCATGGTATGCCGATCCATGAATTAGTGCAACTTTTAACTCCGGTGGAAGCTGCTAAACGAATTCGAGAGGCTGGCAAAGTAATTGAAAAGTGACAAGTCGACAGTTTGTTTCCTAGATTTTTGGAAATAATTTTTTTTACTGGAAGAAACTGGTCTTGATATTTGAACTCATACGAGAGGGGCGTTTTTTGATTCTAACTTCAAGTCCTTTGATGCTACCATGGGATTTCTATTCCTATTTATGATATTGATATTATTCATTATAATCTTTGAGTATTATGCCTTAGTTACAAAGTTTCAAATTCAGTCCAGGCCGAAATTATGAAAATACCACAAATGTGTGGCCATGATTTTGAAGACCATTACTTCTTAAGTTGTTGCATTGGCCTTGTCTTTATGACAAACTAGTAGATAGGTTCACATGTATACTCTTAGTAGAAAAACGTATTTTCAGACTCCTTATCACTCATCAATCTTAGCAGGTACGTACAAACAGCCAAGCATTATAAGAACTGAAAAGTGGTTTGGTTTTACCGATGGGAAATAGGTGCGTGGTCGAAATGAAGAAAGCAATGGACGACGAAGTGATCACAACTGAATTTTGAACTTCGTATTATTGATGTCAGATATTGGAGTCTTTGACTTAACTAGGATTACCAGCATTCCTGCGTTGCCGGGTCTACAGATTGCCGAAGAAACGTTACAAAACCAAAATTTCTTGGGTGAATGCCCATTAAGTTGTGGAAGGTTCTTTTCTCTGTCGCCTAGCAACGATGACAAGCCCTGCTAAAGTTTTGACCAAAATGATGTTAAACGAGTACTCAAAGGAGGATGGGCTTGGCGCCGACTTTTTCTTTGGCCAAGTCTAACGGCACTCACTGCTCCTCTAAGGCGCGACGACTGATAGGCGGACGTTTTTAGTAACGTGGTATGAAATTTCCCGTTTTGCTTCTCAGTGTTACGGGCTGTGATTGAGACAAATGATTGTAAATTTACGAATCTGGATTAAATGGAAAATAGCATTTTTGAGCCAATGTAGATTCGTTGTCTCCATTAAAATAAAAACTGTGCCGGAATACTGCTACCCACATTATTCCTTCTAAGTAATGTTCCGTCTTCCAGATTCATATTCTAAGAGGACGTATTAATGATTTATCAATCTTTAGGATTAACGTCGGAAAAGGTTTACTTCCAAGAAGTAAGACCACGTCTGCGCATACGAAAAGTAAGTAACCAATATAGTCGTTGCTACTTTAATTGCAATATCGGTTTAAACACCGCTTGAGTGAGGCTCTTGATGTAGACTGAGTGGTTCGTATATTTAATATTCCATAATTTTACTAGCCAAAAAAAGGACCATAAAAGGGGCCTCTTTATTACTTGAAAGAAAGTAGGTTTTATGTCATGTTATTCCTATCGACGACAGGTATTCTATAATTGCAAGTGTGTGCTGCCGGCATCATATGTGCACGACATGTTTTCCTGGTCTGGTTGTAGTAGCCAATTTCATCAAGTTGCATTGCTATCACATTGGATGAATAAAAACAATAAGATATATGTAGGATATTTTAATTTTTGAGCAGCAGCTGAAGGAATCAGGGACGTATTGACAGTTCGGTCCATATTAGAACATTGCGACATCTGGACTGTGATGCTTGATTTTCCTCTGGGGTTGGTGACAGGCGTGTTAAAAACAAAATTCCAGTTCATTTTTAAATCATCTACCACGGAAAATCGTTTGAAGCAATCTGGTCTATTCCTTAGGTAGTGGGTGCGTTGGGTGGAACCATTTTCACTGTCACCAGTTTGTAATGTCAACGGTGTATTTCAAAATCTCTTTCTTTTTATTTATTGAAAAATGACGAAAATCCTGCACTAAACCTCCCTTTGATCTGTGCATAATTAGATAAATAAGTGGCGGAGAAGTAGAGAATCGTCGTTGTGAGGAGGCGTTTTTCTTGCAGGCGGAACAGGCCTAATAAACACTAATTTCAACTGTGCTTAGAATTAGCACAATTGACTTAAAAACATTAAAAAATGGGCATATTCGCCATAATGATGTGATAGAAACTTAATCAGTGGGGAAGTATTCCCTAAAATCAACCCAACGAGAACCAATATTGATGTGTGCCTGAAAGGCAAAGTTCCCCAAAATTCATACTAGGCCGTCAAAAATAAATGGTCTTTCCAGTTAAAAAAATTAATGCAACTAAAGGTGGTTTTCCAGCCACAGCTTTGTTAAAGCCACAGTTTGTGCGTGAAACAGCGCGCCATGGCAGAGGTAACCCTGTAAGTTATCAATAAATAGAATTCAAAAACCCAAGGTGACATTCAAGGTTTCCTTATCCAAGAACTTCAGCAAGTCTGTCTTATCCTATTTCACAAGGTTACACAGGAAATTTTTCACTTTCTGTCCATATTCTTGCATCATCTTTCCATCACCATGTACAACTGCGGCTTTGGTCAAAAAGATGGTGGTATTCCATTGTCACTCGAAACCCAAAGATAGAAATGGTATAGGGCGACGCCTTACAGAAGGAAGAACACCTTTCTCTCTTATTTCCATTCTAAATATGCTAGCTTATATCGAAGTCAGCTCAAATCCCAAACAGGATTTTATTGACTGAGAGAAATTTTAGATTTGTGGAAAGCTAATAGTGATTAAACCTTTAGGAGTGTAATATCGTGGTACTCAATCGAGCGCTCACTATTGTGACAAAACCGAAGACTTAGTACCCCTGAAACGGATAAATTGACGCAACAGCTAATGTTTCTTATAATTGAAACTTGGTAAAATGCCACTTCAAATACGCCATAACAGAGAAATCATAGCATAGTTTTACCAAAAAAGAGTTACTTTGAGCCAGGGTCAAAGCTTGTCTCAGGTATCAAATCAGTAGTTGTGCTCCCAGTTTACAGAAATCAGCCCCACCCCTTCGCTAGAGAGACGCCTTACTGCACTTAGTGTGAGCGAATGCGTAAAATTCTTTATAGAAGGAGGAGGGACACATCACTAAAAATTCTTCCTACCCGCTTCTTAAAGTGAAACGTAAGTCCCCCCTCCCCCATACGTTTGGGGCTGAGGACAAAAATGCGATGCCTTTCGTTGATACGGTGGTATTACGACGCCCACGTTGAGATACGACCCCTCATCTTGCGCCACCACCACCCATTTGTTCTATCACAGTCAACACTACTGTGCATAGTGGTGGTGATGGAAAGAATTTACTTTTTTGAAGGATTAAAATGCATTTCTAGGGGTTTTCGTGAAGGTAAACCTTAAGGTAAATCTCGAAAGCACGAAAATGTCTGAATTAAATTGAGCTCACTAAAGTAGACTTAAGAGGTAGCCATCGCATTGTCCCACCCTGAGTCTTCCCTGTAGACGCAACAAGGCTTAAGAGTGGCGAGAAACAACTTGCAATTAACGCATAAAAGTTCTAAGAGACTGTGTGAAAGCACTTATTTACACGAGCGTTTATGAATTTGGAGGGTGATAAGTCGACTGTGTTTGAGATAAGGCTCCTCATTAAAATGATGTTAGGAAGCTCGGTGTTTCCCGTGCAGGAAAACAACTGAAAATTACTTTTGTAATATCCTTTTACGCATCCTTATCGTGTAAGACACCAGATTCCTTGTATATCCTTTAATTTTCCAGTAAATCCACACCAAACATCTCCTCTAAAGTACTGAAATGTACTTTTCCGAGTCTTGAAGATATGACCTTTTACTTACATTTTAAAGAAAAAGTACGTTCCCCCATCTTTGTTATTTTCAAAATGTTTATTTCACCCCTATCAGACTGCAGATTTACGATTACCTTAATATTACTCTTTTGCAGAGAAAGATTCACAAGAAAAACGGTGAGGGGTTTACAACAGCACTATAAGGTCAAATTAAGTTTTCGGTTTGCAAAACACTACTTAAAGTGGGGAACATGACCGTTTGACAGCACTTTAATTTGAAAACCTTTATTAAAATTGGTGACTCGAAAAGAGTATCAAGACCTTTATAATGACTTTATAATTCCATCCCATCTACCCGCAAGAAAAAACAAATCCAAAAGGCTTTCTTCTAAATACGAACTAGGCAACGCCTTGACAAGTCATATTTAGAATACTGCGTTGCATAATCAGTAAATACAAGACACGGGCAAGCAATACCGAGCATAAGACTGTAGCACTCCGAGGCCTCCTTGAAGCCGTAATGAGCCATACCAGTATGTTGGAGACATTATTAACAGACTGAGGAGCCGGGAGACTATAGCAATGGCCAGATGGCCATGGCGCCAAGCCGAAGTATAAACTGCGGAGATCGAAGAGTCGGTGTCGTCTCATGCTCTGGACTTGGTCATTCCTCTACCTCGTCTTTGAAATAATTGGTGTTTTAAAGATCACCTACATGTTGGAAAAAGTAGTCATTAAATTCTAATGGACACGGAAAGGCATTTGGCTTTGAATATGGTGACCAATCCTGTCGATTCTGCCGTCCGGTCTTTGTAAAATAAACCAAAGAGAGAGGTTCACTGGATATTTGGAGTTGGAAGAATCTCTGCAGGGTGCCTAAATCATATATCAATCGCTGTTTGCAGTAACATTTGTTTAAAAGTGGGGATTTTAATAAAAGGCATACTTTATATTGCCTTTACACAGCTAATTGGATACCTGTCCCTCTTTTCAACTTTGTCCTCTTCTCAATACTGTCCAAACACTCATATAGCTTTCACTCAGCCAATAGAGTAGTAGAGAGAACGTTGTCAATTAACGCAGCTTGCATATTTTCATTTGAGTACTATAATAAGTTCCAGAGTTGATGCGCCAACGTGGTTCAGTGGTTAGTCGTTTTTATGCAGGGCATGAGTTTTGGTGATGTACGTGGTTTCGACAACCCGTCTGTGGTGAGTCTTCGTAGCTATAGCCACTTGAAGCACATAAAAGCCTTCGCCGATGTTAAGGTTTGGTTATCACCCAAAGAAATCAGAACATCTGCCCTTTTAAGTCGAATTTACTAGCACATATACGTGGTCAGGTGGCCACGCCGCTAAGCCGAAGTACAAACCGCGAGGACTGAGGAGCCCGAGTGGTTGAAGTATAAAGTCAGGCAAATGTAAAATCACCAAAATGCCATATTGTCTAATGTTTGCAGAATATGGGTGCACCCTTAATTGCAAAAATATAAGGGACAGAGACTGACTATTTTGGTGTAGCAAAATTGAAAACGCTAATTTGAGGTGTATTATATCTCACCCTGATATTCAATTATTCAAAAGACCTAATTATTATTAATTGTAGGTTAGGTTCAGGCAGTGGTGTCAACTGGTCAAAATTTAAGTGATCCCCTCTGTAGCGCCCCAAGACTTCCCTGAAGGGGAATGAAGCCATAATACTTGAGTAGAATGTGTATTGCCGACATAGGAAATGGCTAAGGTGGGAAGGCCATGCTGCGCAAAGTAAGTACAAAGGCGGAGTATTAAGTGTCCGTAAAACCAAAACGAAGAGTTAAATAAATAATTAATGTATTCTACCTTGTTCATGCATCAAAAATATTCGTCAGGTAAATAATGACCTAAATAGATGCCCTTAATGATTAAGGGTTTTTCTAATTAACTGTGCGATTGTTTCTTTCCCAGTTAAAAGTGCATGCAAAATTTAACACAATATTTTTTCTTAAAACAGTAAAGTGGTCAACACATCAGGGATAAATCAGACTGGACTCCTAGTGACTTAGAAAGGAGAAAGATGGGCTTAAGCCTCGCACTTATTCTCGCTACATCACAACAACTTATTGTCATTTTCCAACCAGGCGTGGAGGTTATCTCTTCTTCCTCCAAAAAACACTGTTTTCATGAAATTTTCCTTTTCAGTCATTCACTTTCAAAGGTGGGTGCACCTACAGAAAGGGTATATGCTTATCTGCAGGAACGTTAACACAACTTTTATATTCTTCAAAGCATTATCCATATTTTGGCTATGCATGATAGATAGAAACTGTAAAATAATAATAGATTTTACGAATTGCACTCAGATAATCGTCGATGACAACTTGTTAGTAGTGATTTCGTTGGTTTTTCAATCATTTCTGATTTAAGCTAAGAATACAGGATATGATAAAACTTTCCAATGTTTCCTTCTCCCCCCTCTACAGTTGCATTGTTAAACAGAATGTAACTTTATATGCTATTAAAATAGTCAATTTTGTGCTTTTTGACATATTTTCATGTTTTCCTTGCAAAATAGTGGTGGTGAGCAGGCCCTTTAGTTGGGATTTCAATAACAAAAACTCCTAGAACTAAGGTGGAAATTTCCTTTTAAACTTCTTCTTGGTGTTCTGTTCATTGCTATTCTGGAATAGGAACCTGGAGGTGTGCTTCACTTTCCCAACCAATCATTCCTAGATATAGCCTAGTTTAAATCCCAAAGTTTACAAATTCACAATTGATAAAAATTTTTCCCAATTTTTTTGCAAATTCAGAGAAACACACGACGTTTAATCCTTCCCTTTTAATAACATTTGTCGAAAATTTAGTGCTTCGGACCCTATGGTTTCATGGTTTTATTAAAAGTGAATTGAAAGTAAGTAGGTAAATAAATTCAAAATATGTCTTAAAAGAAGAAGGCAAATTGCAATTTGAAGGCGAAGGTATGTTGAATTATCTTTATCTGATTCAAATAAATATGGACGAATGCATAATACGAAAAGTCTTTCTTGAAACCATTGAAATCTATCAATTTTGAGCTAATTACTGCATACTTGTCGGATTTCGGATTGTATACGTATCCAGCGTAACCGTCGCCGTTCCTTCTTTGTCTAAGGTACACTCAACACCCTTTCCTTGTTATTTCCTTGTAAATGGAATTAACGAATCAATTTCATGAAGAGATACTATCTCCTTTGTGAATAATGTCAAAATAAGAAGCCATAAAAGGTTTCGAAAAAGCAAACACGATTCAAATGCATTCATGTTTAACGTTTCTGAAGCCTCTAATCAAGTAACAGAACTGACTCGGCAGGAGGAGATACAGCTTCAATTCTCACTTGAAGGTCAACCGAGAAGGCACGGCGAGGCGCAGAGCGCCGCGCCAAGGCAGTGCCTTTGATCAGAAGACAAAGGAGAGCTGTCTTTGTTGCCTCGTTTCACGGCTAATAACTTCTTTCACACGAACACAAGAATAGAGGCGCGGTAATTTGAGTAGATGACGAGCTTGCATGATGTGATTTGTTGAATTTTTACCATCACCACCATCGCTGTCGCCTCCACCACCGCCACCACGAAAACGTTGCTGCTGCTGCCGTCGTAAAACGAAGAAAAATAATTGGGAGGATGGTGCTTCATCCCCAAATGCAACATAAAGCAAGGAAGAGAACTCATTTGGTGGATGATTTGCAAAATTGTTTCAATCTCAGCAGGAAAGGTGGCTGAATTAGCCAGTCAATTTATGATATATGGACGTTCCACTTGTTAAACTTCCAAACAAAGTGAGTTTACATTATCTTTAACCTTTTTATGTGAAACGCTTGGCAGTGAGATGTTTTTATTGTTGCTCTATCACAATTACTTGCAAAAAATGAAGCCATCGTATTACAGAACAAGAAATCGTTGAGTTAAAAACATATGCCTTATGTCTTTTAAACAGACAATAAAAATACCTCTGGCTTTTATCATTCCTGTAAAGTTTAAGGAAATTCTTGCTAAAAACTATATACTTTTTCAAATAAGTGAGCACAATCTAACTATCCACTCTAATTTAAGTGCTAGATGAAATGATGCAGTATTTACCTCCGTCAAAGTAATCAGCCTGAATTGGAGGGCCCACTTTTTAAAATCGGAGTTTCGAAAACTTAAACGTAAGTAAAATTTGGTGAATTTCCTTCCAGAATCATGCTCAGTTGAATAAGAACCCAGCGTTTTACCTGCAGCACAGTATTAGGTACAGCAGTCAGCATCTTTTTGACCACACTGCAGCACTGAACCTATTTTCGGAAAAAAAATGGCTCCTTTTAAAGCAAAACCAATGAGTATTTTGGGTTTTTAATTTACCCGATACTAATCTTCATGGTCACAAAAATGTGGTCAATTTATTCCTCCTACTAAAGGGTGTTTATTCAATAATCAAGCAGAGGAAAAATTTAAGAACTTTCCTTGGTTTTTCCGGTAATTAAAAACAAACATTCTGACTTTGTACCCTTTCGGTTAAAATACGTCTTAAATGCCCCTAGTATTTACACGTAACTTCATCCTAGAAAAGTTTAGCAGTTGCTCAAAAAGCTGTGAACATCGAAGGCATATTATCTTCTACGTTTTTCACATTAAACTGAAATATGTTCTTTATTTTTCACTTGCTAGCCGTCATGTTTACTGCAATACTACCTAATTGAATTCGATTCCCCGAGGTGTTGTTTGCTTTTAGAATTAGATGTTGATTTGTAGCGCAGCCAAATCTCACGAGCTTATTGCACCTAAAATCTACTCTATTTTCATATAATATACTCATTTTAAAAAGAGAGGAGTACATTTTTTGCAAATCCTGAGAAAAAATAATTATTTAATGCCTTCTTCAGATGATACAAAGTGGGTAAGGGTAATTGATGCTTACGTAGAAACAATCATTTATGCAGATTGTTTGATTGTTTAATCCTTTGGTCCGGTTACACGAGCACCAAAGGGCCACGTGAGTAGCCCCTCAGCCCTTCTGTACGTCCCCATTACATGTCCTGTCCTGGTATTAGAACTTCCTAAGTCTTTAGGAATGATACGGGTCGCCACATAACTTCTTTTAAAAAAATACAATAGAAATATTAGGTGGTTATGCTGTCCTATGTCATTAGGCCATAAAGAGGACGTGTTGCTTCACTTACGAGGAAAAATAGAAGTGGATAAATGTACAAACATGCTTTTCAAAATTCCTCGCACCCTCCATCATTAAATCACAGCCCCATCTACCATAGTAATTGAGTTGTGAAAGATATTTCGAAGGTACCTATTTGAAGTATTCTGTTGAATTTTAATTGCAGTCTTGAAGGTTACCCAGCCTTGAGGGAAATATCCCTCAAGTCATTTGAGATCATACTCCTTGCATAATAATGCAGGGCACTAACGCTGCTGAAAATGCATTGAAACAAGCCAAAGCGTTTACATTTAAACAGAGCATAAAAATAAAACCAAACAAAGATCCAAATTATTTGGGTAGAGAATTTACGACACACTAAAACTGCAGAAAATCTGTAAGTATGCCTTTGGTATCCAAGAAGTTGCAAAAATGACAAGCTATTTACCACGACTGTGGTAAAAATTCCTTCATTTTGTAAAGTTACCTATTTTTTGCCACGATCACCCCCTCAATTATTGCTTTTTAAAGTATAACTTGTCTCTTTAATACTTAGGACATATTTAGGTGGGAAATTTTTGCCTACAATAAGACAGTTTTTGCAATAAATGACGGTCGAAGATACGACATCAGTATTTCTTACATGAAGCACAGTCTTTGACGCGTCCTGCCATCGTGGTCTCAGAGGAACGTTGACTGCAATGGCCCTAGCACCGACACTTGCACTACCTAACTGGCTTATCCTAAAGATGCATGCAAATTAAAACCTGGTGTAATTATCTTCAATCAGAAACAATACCTTATATCTTTCGCATTGTTTTAAATGCAACCTATGCATTTGCAATGAGTGATTTTTGTACACTCAGTTACCATAAACGGACAGGGAACACATGTCACATATTTGTGACGTCAAATTCAGACAAGAAACTCGAGGATTGCCTACATAGCATATCATTCCTCATAAAAATATATATATATATATATAATGTCAATGTCCGTTAATTGATTCGATAGACTACGGATTAAAACGGCAACTCTAGAACTACCGGCAATAATTTGCTGAGATAAGTATTTGCGCGCAGTCCATCTTTTAGAACTAGGAAAGAGAAGGTCAATCTGTAAATTCCAAGCTTAAGTTTCAAAAATTAAATAGACAGTAAACAAAAACAGCATAGTATCACATCCACTGTCTTATTTTTCATGCGAAAAGGATATATTGTTAAAACCTTAAATATTAGTTAACACCAATGCTTACGGCACCATTAGGTTCAATCTCAACAACTAAACAGCATGCGACATGATCAGCACCACTACATAATTTTTTAAGTATTTTAGATTTATGTTACTTAAAACCTGGTTGTTCTAGTGTTTACAAGTAGTTTTTGTTAGTATTACAAGAGCAAGTCATTGCAGACTTCAAAAAATCTGATCTAGCATAAAGTTTTATTGATAATTACAGAACAATAACTTGTTAAGTTACCATAAAAGGCCAAAAAATGCAACAATCATAATTCCTTAGTTGAGAAATACAAAAAAACATGAACATTTGCTGAAGAAATATTTAGCGATATTCTGCTTTAATTGGAAGACCTCTGTTTTCAAAAAGTGCGGCTGGCAGCAAAGTAAGATGATCACTCGATCTGTTTCTCACTACCTTTGTATCTTCCACGAAATGAGAATAATATATTGCCTTTCTTTGAATAGAAATTCGAAGGTAGATAAACCTACTTAAGCGAAAGAGTTGCTTTGATGAGGAGGGTATTTCAAGGGCTAAGCTACTCCCTTATTTATGGTCCCATCCAATGGACTGGCAACTGGTTCCTCTCATTCGACTACTGAATACCTGCATGCAAAGTTCAAAAGACACTTTGCTGCTCTTCTTTTACCCCATCAAGATCGTAGATTCAAGACTGTTTTGGGCAATCCAAAAATTAATCGACTTTTAATGAGATCACTTTACAGGATTTGGATATTAGTTTAGGTAGTAAGATTAAAGGAATGAGCTTAAGGAAGTTTCCAAGTTATTTTAAGTGACCTGAGGGATCAAAACGAGTGTTGGTCCTAATTCTGTAATCCTCAAGTAACGATGTGAACATTTCTCTCCATTAACTCTCCACGGTATAGGTCCTTTTCTCATTTGTCATTTATATAAACATCTAAATAATGATGCTTTCTTTCGAGACCGTTAGAACGAGTCAAATTGCTGGAAAAGAACCCCAGCGACTACTGATCAGATTAATGCTTCCTCCTGACGTTTTGCTATGTAGAAAGGGTAAAGATACACTACTGCAAAATTTTGGGTGTGGGAAAATGACTTTTCAAAATCACACTGTAACCTTTTAAATGTGGTCTTTGCTCTATTGATGGTGATGATTGTGATGGGAACGATTTTGCCTTAAAAGTTAGGGACAGGTAATAATCGGCGCCATTAAGAAAACACCGCCCTAAATTGTTCCACCCTCTCCTCCTCTTCCAACTTCCTTCTATTCTCCCTGGCCTTACGCTACGAAGGGCTAATGCACTACCTTGCTAGTGGAAGAGGGGAAGAAGGAGGTGGTTTGCCATTAAAATATTCGCAGCATCACGCAAGGGCACTCAGCCCTCGTGTATTATGACACCTAGAGAGAGGAGCACCCACTCAAACTCTCTTTGCCCGCTACTCACATCGCACAAACATTAGGCGTGTCGAATACACTAAGAAAGGAGGGGAGAAGGGTCTTACCGGAGGATGGGATATGATGGAACGAGGTGAGATTATTGCTTTCCTCTCCTGGACCTAGCGCCGACAAAATGAAAACGAGGCTTGGTTTGTCAAACTAGCAAATCTAAGTACCATTTGAATCGGTCACAAAGAGTTTGGTAAAGTCTGTCTAAGCTGCTCTTTTGTCCGCTGAGCAGATCAAGTACCAAATCAACACATTAAAGCTAAAAAAATAGCAAAACTTTTGCTTAAAAATTATGAGCCTTTCTCAATTATGATTACTTGATTAGTAAGACACTGAGACTCTTTCAATGGCAAAAGAATTGTGAATAATTCAGCATTGCATATATTCTAAATTCACTGAAGGTGTCCGTTGCAGTCACTTTTGCGACCTAACTGTGGGAAACTCGACTGACTGAGGATGTATACCTCACAATGAAGAAAGATAGTGGTAGTGAAGCAATATTTGATTATACCGCATTAGGATGAATCTGAGCAATGCTAACATGAACCAGATCATCTTGGAGCCTCATAAAGAGGCCACCTTTTAAAGATGATGAGAGTTTTGAAGCATTACACTAGAGTTTTTACTATTACCGGGCCCCTAGAAGCTACCTTTACTCTTCGAAACCGAATGCTTTTTAAAGCTGAAGCTTAAAAAGCTTTTTTTTGTACGCCTCCTATTTAGGTGAAACTCACTAAAGGGAAAACTTCGAAAAGTTCTCTTTTCTATCGGCACGAGGGAACATCGTACAGATACTATGAGGATATTTATTGCCCAAAATTTGAACTCTCCCCTATCACCTGCATAATTGGGGGAACAAATTTACACAATCTTGTCTAAAAAAATTTTAATGGTTGTCATTGACAAAGAAAGCATGTTTGGCCCAAGCAATTCTGATTGGCCGTGTCATTAGCTTCTCCTTCGTAGTAATCACTTTGCTCTGAAGACCACAGATTTTGGGAAGAAAGAATGCAACTTTTCCCCCAAAATTTGCCCATGTACAGCGATACACCACTCGTAGGGAAGTAGAATAAACTTTTATAGTTTAATAGGCCGATAATTATTTTCTCATACTCAGCTTATTCTTGTGAATAATCTGCTTAATGGACTGAGTTGTTTGAGTTGGTTGCGGTTAACCAATCCGCTAGTTCAATTCTGTGATACGAATGAAAAAGGGGGAATTTTACACCACATTTCATTGAAATATGTCTATGAACTAGAGAACTTTTGTGCGTTTCTGCAAAGCTCGGAGTGGGATGGCTCTTTTTCATAAGTTTAAGAACACTTCATTAAATTCATGCCTTCACATTTCAGCCTTTTACCTTAAAGATTACGATTACATTTTCTGAAATGTTTAATTTTGAAAAGAGCATGACAATCTTTATGGTCAATTTATGAGGTACCTTAGTTTCTTTGGATAAACTCCGAAAATAGGGTGCAGGAGCATGATGAATTCAAAAAGGAATGCCTGCTATTGTTACTTAATTTTCGGCTGATAGTAGGGTAGTGATTTGAGAAAGGAGTTTATTGCTTTCTAAAACTAGATCCATCTTAGTGGCTCCAGTAAGTTAAGATTTCCCAAAAAGCCATTTTATGGAATAAGTAAATTATTTGGGAATCGGATGCATGCAGCGTACACCTTAAAATTGCCTTTGCTTAAGGTATTTCGTCAAAAAGCACTCAGAGTTAGCACATAGGGTTGCCAATCAAGCCTGGTTACACTTCTGAGCTGTTCACTTTATGTGCGAATGTTTAATTTCAAGGAGAGCTGATAGAGAGGATTGACAGAATGGAGATGTGACGAAGCTTCAATCCTCCCGCAAGTGAGATATTTCATAGGTATAAGATATGTGAACTAGTGTTTCATTTATTTCGATTAATTTTACTCGTTCTGGCGATGGCCGTTGAAGTTTCCTGCTTAAGTTCGGGTTATAGTGGATGAATAAGCAAGAGATCCAATTGCTTGGCATTCAGCAAGTGAATACTTCGGGCAATCGATTCTGCCTGGAGTCTACTAGACGCGAAGAGAGCATAATCATCAGGGAATGAGATGGTGAATATCCTAGAGGTATGAGGTTTTGAGGGTGTGGATCGTTTGAGGATTATCAATGATGTATTAATTCTCCCGATGAGCAGCACAAAAAAGCTATTTTCCCACAAGGTGTGTAGCAAACAATCAAAACTTGACAGTATTGTTGCAAGGCGAAAGTAGTAAGGAACAAATTAATAGTTCCTCAGGCTTATTATGTCTTCTGTTAACCAAATGATTGGGACTCGTTTGCTCAGCTCCTAAGGCTTACCAATTGATAAAAATGAAAAAAAAATTATCAAAGCGCGGTTATTTACTATAACACCTCCATTTGAATGGAACATCACCCAAATTTAATTACATAATCACCTCTTAAAGTTATGTTCTGCTACTGCATTGATTCCTTTCAATTCTTCCCTCTTTGGGCATTGGCCATTATTGACGTCAAAATTAACTTCCACCGTAGACCAAAGGTGCATTCAAAGGAGTCTTTGTATGATTTTTTGTGTCATTTACCTTTTAAATTGCCATACAACATTCTGCTTTTTGGTTATGAAAAGTAATTTGACTGCGGTGTTTTTTTAGGCAAGTTCCGAGTTGTAGTAATGATACAGCGGTCTTCTGGTTAGCCAAAAACCATAAATTGACCACTGAACTCCTATTCGAGTTCATGTACCATACAAATAAAAAGGCAAATAAGTGATTAGCTGTCAGAAATGTCCAAATTTTAGTCGCTGAAAAGTTGTTGACCTACAGATAACCAATTATGCATTCACATATTCTTTGACAAATTTTGGCATAAAACTGCCAACTATGGGCTAATTTGATATTTTTTTAAAGCCCAAAGAGATGTCAACAAGTTTTACAAGTCACAAAGTGATCTTTAAAAGAAAATAGTACTGATTAAATTGTCAAGCAGCTGTCACTACCGGACACAGACATAACAGATTGACGAAGGCTCTTCTATCCCCTGTTACCATAGAACATTAGCTTAGCTCAGAAAACAGCGCTATTTGTAATCTGAATGTCTATCCGTTTATGTAGTATTTCTTAAAATATATCAATCCTTATCTGCAGCGCGCAAAAGTGGGCGAATTGTCATTTGGTAGGCTTTTTGAAGGTCATTGTTTGCATTATCTTGATAGATGTGACCACAAAATTTACTATAGGCCTTGCTACCCAGTAAAAATTAAATTCACTTTCCTGGTAAATAAATTTAAAAGTGCAAATAGAATTCACTTTGAAATTACCACAAGCTGACCTATTGAATGCTCCTAAATAAAGACAATTACTTAATGGAGGATTTCAAGGAAATACTGATCTGTATCCTCATGCAATGCCTAAACAATCCCCACCAGTACATGAATGAACAATACAAACGTACATTTTCTATTAACAGAATGATTTCTTCTTGTCATTTTAAATAACAATATACTATGGAGTCGAGAAATAGAAGCAGAGAAGAGAGACGGGGGTGGAGGGGAGGAAGTCAAGTTATTGTCCTGGTGGCATGCTGAACACTGTAATTGTGGTGGCACAGTCGCATCAAAATTTCATAATGACAGATGACAAACATAGTGTTTGGCGTACCACTTACTTTAAATGCAAAGTCGCCACAAGAGTGAGACAAACGGCAGTGCTTGAGAGTGGAAGTTTTTTTGGAAAATACACATTGTTTTCTTTCAAACTGCTCACCTTTTGGAAAAGGTTTTTTAAGGTTGACCTCAAAATTGCACACAAAAGGAGGGCGATTTAAAAGTGCTGATAGGGGACGGGGATTCCAATATAATGCATAAAATGTATTTAAAGTTCATGCGGTTAATTATGAAATTGGATTTGATTTGGCAAAATATTGCCTGGTAGATGCATGCAACCTGACTTTACAATCAGCCTTAGGGGCGACTATATTTAATCAACTTTGCTTTTAAACTTAATGCAAACTTGTCTTTTGTGCTCTGATCCTTACTTGATCAAAATAAGGAGCAGTATGTTAATATATTAACAATTTTTAGGGAACTGGGTGCACGTGACCTTAAAGGACACTCATGTAATGTAATTACAATTATAATTAATTATGTAGTAAATGATCTCAAAGATGAATAAAGATCATTTTTAGAATTTCTTAAATGGCGTTAAAATAGAGAATCGCATGGGTTATTAGTCGGCAAACTACTTTGAAATTTTTATGTTGAGTAGAGACAGTACAAAATGGACATTTTCTGAGATTTACTGCTACCTTATTGCTTTTCTGGTTATTTTAAGGCTAGCTCAATTCGAACGGCGACTTTCAATCTCACTTTTAACTGGAATCCTAGAATTGCGGTACTATGCGCTGCAGTAAGTGGTGTGTTGGAACTTAGAAACCAATAATTTGCCGCCGATGCGGTAATTTGGTAGCTGATCCTGTCTACTCCACTCCAGACATTATTCGTCAAGGTGGTAGGCAATAGTGACGGTGGTAAGCTGGTGCGTGCTTAAGTGTGTGCAGAAAATAATATGCGCCCATGAAAGAAAAGCCTCCTCAACTTGTATGACTAAATGGTACCGGGGGTTATCTGCTTCTTTTCACGGAAGACCACAAGCGCCACTGTGATGACATCCACAAATACTCTCTATTCACTCAGAAGTGCTACATCTGAAATAAATGTCGTAGACCTTGCAGAGATGGCTTTACCTCTGTCCGTAATGATCTTAACCCTGACGGTTACCAGTTCACCACCATGGTATTCATTTCCGGGAACGAGGAGTCAGCTCATGAGACGTTTGATAAAAACATGCATTATCTAAGGTAAATTTGCACTAGAGGTAAATCTTTCCGTAGAAGGAAGAACCAAGGTCATTTGCGAACATTTGGCATTTTGGAAGTTAGTGCACGCTGCGTACCACAACAGCTCTTCTCTTCGCACCAGCCTAAAAGAGTTGGATGTTCAGCACTAAGCTGGAGGAGTTTTGTCACTACCGACCAGGACTATCTAAATTGCACCGTCATGGATGAAGATACCTAAATGTATCATTCTACTTAGGATTTGTGACAAACATGAAAGCGGTGGAGGTACGTGGATTTACAATCAACAGAAGGTACAGCAGGCTGTCCCATGGTGGTTCAGCTGTACTGGAAAATCACCATCGCACGTATATTTGTTGATGCAGAAGGGCTAAAGGTAGTTAGATGCAAATCAGCAAACAGTTCCTGGTGCAGTCGATAGGAGAAATTGTCAAAACAATCATTGTCTCACTGCCTACTTATTGCGCCCTCGATGCTGACAACTTTTACATCGGAGCTCTTTGACAAAGTACTCTTCGGTACATCCATTGTTTACTTAATATGATTTTCCGTAACACCCTCTAATTCATCAGCTAACACCCTGAGTGGTCTGATGCCCCAAAATAAATGCTGATTTGATTTCTAAATAATTTTAAATACTATGTTTTATCTTACTTATCAGTTGCTATCCTGCAGGCATAAGAATTTTTCATTAGAGATGATAGACCAAAAACCTAGGAAATGAAAGTTTAATTACTTCATTAGCCTAATATTTAATTAACATTATTGTTTTGGGAAAAAAGCATTATGTGGTTATACACTGCTAGACACCGTAATTGCTTTGAAGAATTCATTTTTTTATCTTGTCTGCTTAAAAAGCAAATATGATTGCCTAATCTCTTAGGGTACCGATTTCTGGTAAAGTTGCGAGGAATTCTAGCCTACACGTGCACCTTCAAAAGCTGGTTTAATGGGGCGATGGATTTTCCATTCCGTCCTTTCGTGCAAGAAAGGGGCAAACGGGACAGCGTGGATGGAAGAGTGGTGATAGTGGCAACCCTCGTGCGTCATTTCTCTCCATTGACTCATCTATTGCCATTGTGAAAGTAATGGGAGAATGCAGCGGAGAAATTTGGGTTAACTCCACCTCAAAGCGAAGGATTTGGCAGGCTTTTTTGTCACTTTGTGTTTGAGATTATGGGGTGAAAAAGTGGGGTTAGAAGCAGCTAAATAAGATCTTTATTAGAGCAGAGATTAATTTTAATTGTCACATCATATAAAAATGCTAGATTGTACTAGACTGTTGAATGGATCAACGGATAAATAAATACCATTACAGAGTTCAGTAGATGGGTGTTTGTTCCCACAATTTAATTTTTAATATCTAGGGTCCTCCAGTCTCCCGCAATTCAACTTTTACTGTGGTAGAGCTTAGGAATGACTATTCAACAATGCTGCTAAGCCCCCAAACACTTCCCCAGCACTATCAAAAACCAAACCCATATTTTTAAACCTTGTAACGGTTTAGGAGGCAACTCTAACATTTCAGCCAAAATGGATAAAGGTGTTATTTTAAACAAGAGCTCAAATGAAGTTTAGAATTGCTTATTTTTGGGTGTTTTGGAAAATGGTAATGAAGCTGATTCTCTATGTGTACTCGTGAGCGCACGGATCTTAGCTCATCAGAACGCTGTTTACTGCCATAGACAGCATTAATTTTTCATTAATAGTAACGCATTTCCTTTCTCACCGCATCGCGGGCTGTAGATGTACTTTTTATTTCTCAAACTTAATGACCTCATATGGACATAAAATTAAGTCTGCCAATGGAATTACAACATATATTCCCTAGATCAAGGTTCATTCAGCTGTTTGGGTGGTAAACTGCCGAATGCCATTTCTGTACTCGAGATTAAAGATGGTAGCAAAACAACGTGTCTTACAGATTGCTAATGAAAGAATAGCTTTGAAGTTAGAGCTTTGTTTTTTCGTACCCTAACTGCCCCTTCGAAATGTGATTCTAAGTATAGATGTCTTTTATTAGGTTACCATATATGAAATTTACGTAAGTTATGTCTCACACACAAAGGACAATCACAAATGATGTTTAATCTCCTGCGCCAGTTTTGACATTGAAATTTTTATTCTGAAGCCAAGAAAACTAAGCAAACTGCATGCTCATTCACCAAACCGTTAAAACTTTCTCCTCTGATGTTTTAGAAGGTGGCCTTCATATCACTATCGTTCAAATGCAACAGATTGGAATATTGCACGCATGTTTGAACCATTCACGGTTTGGGAATATTTGGCAAAGACGAACGTAATTCTTCACTGAAAAGTATTGAGAGTGGCGTATCACTGGCATCAAATCATTTAAATCACTTCTTCATGGCATATCTCCCCACTGCTGAGCACATTATAAGAGGAGCTTCTGAGGCCTTGCAAATAAGTTTAAATTTGTAAGGCAGGCTAGCTGGAATCGCAACTAGCAGATTCCACTAATGTTTTAAGATGTGGAAACTAGAAGTTGTAGAAAGCACAATTAGGAGTAAGATCGCGGGGCGATAACACGAGTCTCTCCTTCATAGTAATGCACGTGAACAAGCGCATGCAATTCACAAGTCCCTGTAAGTCAAGACTGGCCATTGCAACGAAAATCAAAAGATCTTTTTCGGTAACCTGATAATTTCCAACCCTCTTTTAATGTTCATGTGTAGTTGGAGATCAGTTTGTAGCTCCAGGTGAATGAAACAACTAATGATCAGGGAAATTAGTGAGCTAAAAAAGTAATGCGTCAGCTTAGAAGATACGGTGCTCAATAGAGTATATTAAGATTTTTGTCCAGATAATACAAATCAAAGATAACTTTCTTGAAGTTCTACCATTTGATGAAATCAACGCAAAACACCCACATTATCCCTCATTTTAACAATCTTAATACTCTGAATTTTTTCTCAAGATATCTTGAAAATGGAAGAAGATCGCTGGCATTAGGATGGTCCATTTTTTGGGATTGGTATGGGCTTATTAATGTCTTGTAATAAAAGTCCCATTCATTAACTTACCCACCTCACCCTGTCACAACAATTGATAGCAAAAATTAGAAAACGTTTGCAATACGGCCCGAAGAAGGCCTTCATTGCTAAATACACACCTATCTGCGCTTACGTAAAACGCCACTTCTTGAGAGCTGTTCTAGAATTAATTCATCGGCACTCATTTGGAAGGGTCAAACAAAGGAAAATTTAATGGTCCCGGTCGGTGTGTAAAAAGTGATAAATCCTAATTTTTGATTTCGTGTATACTTTGTATTCGGAGCATTCCCGTTCTTCCTCCAGTTGATCAATCAACTGTCGAGAAAGACAGCGTTAAACATTTCCACTGCCTAGAGTTTTATTTCTACTTCCACGACAAACGGTTAAGCTCATTTAGAGTTGCTGTTCTTCTACCCTCCCTGTCTTGAAATATCGCTGAATCAAAGACACTCCGAATAAGCCCTCGTTTACACGCTCATGAGCATTGCCCGATCACCTGTGTAAAAGGAGTCTCTACCCTGTAGATGAAATAAGCCAATAAACGAGGGGAGGTTTGGATGCATAATTTCTGGTGTGAAAGTACGAGTTGTCTTCACCATTCTATCAGGTAGTTCAGACACCTGTTCATCCCTCTAATGCTGCTTTAAAAGGGTAGAAAGAGTCCTATAGTATCAGGGACATTGCTCCTAAGAATATTGACCTGTTACTCTCTCGAGAATTCAGTCTTTGCAAGAGTTACTTTACATAGCTCCTTCATGTACAATTAGCCAATTGCGTCATTGGAAAATACTGGTCGATTTTCTGATAATTTACTTTGTTTTTTAACCATGGTTATATTTTTAGAGGGAAATTTATTGCATTTCCTTTATTAAAATATACATTTGTTTTAGATCATTCAGCAAGTATAGCCTGATATTCTGGAACGAGATGAAACTAAACTTTGACCATTCGTTAATTTCAAATTACCAATAAATTTTAATTTTGCCGTCTTTGCGATCTGCTTTTTTATTATTTTTGCCAATCAAAAATCAAGTCCCAAAAGTAATTCCCGAAGCCCAAGTTTATTCACTGCTCACTCTCACTTATCCCCATTTCCAATCAAAGTGCCTATCAAAGTGCTTTTAAATTTTGTTTTAACACATGGCCATTATATAGCAGTGGAATTTGTTAAGAACGAGATCTTGAAATATTTTACTCTATAGGGATGGGGGTTGATTAAAGCAACCTTTCCATGATATTGTTGGAAAATCACCAATATTCTTGACTTCTGCAATAATTTTAATCGCACTGGAGTGAAACCTCAGACACACCAAAAATAATAAAAATCAAGGCTACAATCTAGAAGCCTTCCTTTTTAATTTTAACGCTGCATAGAAAAGAGATTAATTAAGAAATAACCTAGCTTGGCAAATAATTGGGGCCGTTTGGACTAATAGATTTTGGAGGTTGCATGGATTTGACCGAAAGAATAGACTTATTTGGATTAGTAGAACCACAACAGACGCGGTCTACCCATTCTCTAATTTATTTTACACGGAAACTACCAAAAAAAAAAATTTATTTCAAGTATATGTACATTTTAGAAGCACTTGCATCACTATCCGAAGAGGAAAGGGTGGAATGTAAGCTAGCACTAGGAGATTGGGTAGTTTTGCCAGAGAGAAGAATAACCACCTCTGGAGAAAGTATTGCATCCAGTCTGGAGTGAGGCAAAAAGGTAATTACTGCCAGCCGATCCGTCAACGGGGTGTACATCTGGCGTCACCTGAGTGACCACCTCGTTTTGGCCAAACGGCTTCATGCACCAACCGGAGTGACCCGGAGTGGGAACTGTGTACTTCTGGTTGTCTGCTGTCATAGTGTTGTCGACTAAAGGGGCTGCTTGAGTGAACACCATATTTAGAGCGGGTGGTGAATATATAGCAGCGGAAGGTTCTTTCATCACACCGTCATCCTCTCGATGGTTATGATTTTGGTGACTGTTTTTGGCCCTAGAGCGTAAAAGGACCTTGATCATACAGATACAACTGACGATGATGACTAGAAATATCAGCACAGCCACGCTGATCATGATCACTGTGGTATGGGTCAATCGGCTTTTTGATTTGGACGAGGCTGTGACATTGCTAGCCGTCCCCGTGGAGAACGATCTACTCAGATGGACTGTGTCAAGAAGGGTATTTCTGGGGCTAATATACACAAAAAAGTTCCACGCAGCTTTGGTGGGATTTTGACCCATGTCGTAGAGGAGAACTCTAACTGCATAGACGCCTGGAGTTGGACCCCTATGATGCCAGGCTGTGGTGAGTTCCCCAGTCGCCTGATCCAGCTGAAAGTAGCGAGAACCGTTGGTGTTTTGCTGTAGAGTATAAATAACTGTGCCATTTTCACCTTTGTCTGGATCGTAAGAGCGTAGAACACACACCTTTGAACCATGTGGCGAGTTGGTGTACACCTGAGGATGGTATCCAACTGTGGTATCAGGATGAGGAAATCTTAATGCAGGAACGTTATCATTTTCATCAAGAACAAGCACTTGAACACTCTTGTAGGTTGTTCTCTGTGGGTTTCCTGAATCTGTAGCTACAAAGTGAATAGTGTAGCTTTCAATATCTTCTCGATCCAGAGGTTTTTTTGTCACCAGTAGACCTGTAATGTCGTTCATTCCTCTCACCATTCCATGGGATAAAAACAAGTTTCTGGCACTTCCCCTCTCACGTATAGTGTCAAAAGCATTACGAACTTGCTGGGTATTGTTTGCCGCGAGTTCAAGACGGATTTCAGAGTTCGGACCAATATCTGCGTCAGTGCATCTCACTCTTCCGACTACCACTCCAGCTGGAAGATTTTCAGCCACACTCAGAGAATCTAAAACCTGTATAGAGGGACTGTTGTCATTGATGTCTGTAAGACGGATGCGTAGCTTTACTGAGGTCGAAAGACCACCTCCGTCTTCTGCAGCAGCAAAGGCTTCAATTTCCTCGTTTACCTCACGATCTAGACATTCACTGTCCTTTACAGTGACTACTCCAGTCATACTATCAATGCTGAAGATCTCCTGAACGCTACAACGACGACCACTGCTGTTGATGAGGGAGTAGGTCAGACGAGCATGTATTCCTGCATCGGCGTCGTTGGCAGTAACTTGAGTCACCCTCTTTCCTTTTGGAGAGTGTTCCGGTAACTTGGCGAGGAGTTCCGTAACTCCGAACTCGGGGTAGTGATCGTTGGCGTCACCGATGGCAAGGGTGATGCGTAGAATACGTTCGCGTGTGTCAAAAGGGTCCGCACTGTCGGAACAGACGATCTCCACACTAGCGGATTGTGCCTCTTCGTAGTCGAAAATGCCCTCGGTGAAGACAAAGTAGGCATTTGTAGTGACTTCTTGCAGACGAAGGGATGCAGAGCCAGCTCCTTTTACCCGATTAGGAGCTGGTCGGCAGATCACCTTAAGGTGCATAATTATGCGATTAGTCAGCGACTCTTGCCTTGCGATGGTTTAAGAAATTGCAACTCATTTTGTTTAATGAAATGCTTTTGCTCATTTTTGCTATAAATAAATAAATCAAAGCCATAGTGATAGGAGAATTAATGAATATTTGCATGATTTTAGGCGATGGTGAAGCTCACTTGCCGCAATCTTTTTGATACTAAAAGAGGACTCTTAAATGCATAAAAGCTGCCAAGATTCTACCTAGGAAACGGATTTAAATAATGTCCAAACAAATTCATAAATACTTACAAACCGGTGTTTCCTCATCATTTAGGATGGAGGTTTTATCTTTTTTCGGTCAATGAGATACCATCTTGATAAAAATGCCCACTTGGAAGGCACAAGACTCCCTTTAGAAAAACACGGTCCAAGAGGAACAAAAAAATCGCTTAGTCCGCGTTTACGGAAATAGACCATCAGTTTAGTTTCTACACTTTAACACTGTAGAGGCTACTTGAGGAGTTTTATTCATAGCTCATTGAAATGTGCGATTCACAACCACTAGATCGCTCGCACTTTTACAGTGAAATCTAAATTAGATAGTACGCATATTTGAATTTCTTAATCTGTATGGAACAGCATAAACAATTGCCAAAATTAACATAAAGTCATAATCAAAAATTAAAATTAGTATTTATTCGAGTATATTTTGACTAAAATAAATTTATTTGGCGAAATCACAATTTGGAGGTGCTGTAAGGTCTTTGGGCGGCTTGAACCTAAGCTTCAGAAAAACACTACACTAAGAAATTACTTCTTACTGCAGTTGTTTGGAATAATCTCACTTGGCATGCTAGCAATAGTGCTTTCTGCCACCTGTTCAGATACTATGGCATTCACCGGAAAGATCTAAGCTACTGAAACTGGTTGCCAGTTTCCAGCTAAGACTGAAATCGAAATCCCTCTGATTAATATCCGATCCTGTTTATATTTTCACAATAAAGCTTCAAATATTATTAACTATGCTGTTTGTGACGCAAAACGATATCCCAAACAATAAGGCGCATTTGGTTTGATAAACTTGGAACAACGGTTACCTAAACATATAACGACAGTGTTTAAGAAATTGGATTTGTCTTTATCACTTTGATACCAATTAGTAATTCAGCAGAATGGTGTTACTCATCACAGATTTAAGAAAGGTTTTTCGTTGGAGGAACATTCATTGAAGCATTCATGAAGCACTTTTATATCAAAAGAATTTCAAATTACATTCAAAGGCAAAAAATTAGAATAAATTTGATGACTGGGCCTTAAATCACCCCTTTCTTCACTTTTTGAAAAATTTTATAAGGTAATGAGTTAGGTTCCTTATCAGAGGTCAAAAGAATTTTAAGCGTTTACGAAGGGTCAGGAAGGTGGTAACATGGAACGTGCTAGTCTCGACAAGTAAAACGTGCCTATATCAAAGAGGCGATTTATGTGTGCGCCGATATTTTCACAAGCCTTGTTTTTCATTTCCTTTAGTATGCATTTAAGAGTGAAAGATTTACTAAGGAGAGATATTTATTTAAGATGTTTGCAGTTATTTGCAATATTTGACTGTATTTTTCGATAAGGACTTTACGACTGATGCATGATAACCTGAGTGTAGCCAAATTTATAAAAGGAAGTTTCATTCGCATTTTACAACCAATTTTCAGCTTTCACTTTCATCATTCATGCATTTTTTTATTTTCCAATTTATTGCAAACAGAACAAAGTCGTCGCATACTCTCTCACAAATCACTCTAAAAGATGGGTTCCTTGAATCAAACTAATGGCCTGTGTGATTTTGAGTTGCAAATGAGGAATGTAAATGATTTCCTCTTCCACTTATTTAGCCATTTCTGAAATTCCAGAATGTCCTGCAAACCGCAGTGGATATTTTCTTGGTTACTCAATGTTATCACTTCTGTACTTATGTCATAGTGCACTTTGAAGTATGTATTAATTTTTGGGGCCAAATGAAATGATGCACCTCCTGGCCACGGTAGTCATCAGCGTTGGTATCACCGGTCAAAGCCTATTTGAAGTGACTACCCTATGGAGTAAATGGGTTTGAAATCACAGGGTATAAAGATTTGAATTTATAAGTGATTCTACTGTCTATCATTGTGTTTTTACTAAAGACATCATGAATGGTGGATCAGAAAATTAGCATTTATGCTTCTTGTAATCATTAAGTGGAAAAATCGGATGCACATTAGATCACTTGACTTAGATCGAAAAAAAGCACCTATTTTGGCTCAGTGAATTTAATTGAGCAATTACTATATCAAGAAGGATGTTGGGAGGTCAATTTTGGATGTTGGGAGGTAATTAAGATACGCCTGAAAATTGTTCGGGCATGTGTGGTGTCCGTGTGTGGTCCAAAGAAGTAATTTGCTTCCCTCATATAGGAGTTGAAAGATGTCTTCCTCTTTCTGAAATTATTAATTGCAGAACAACTCAATGCCTCACTGATGCCTATGCAAACCTGCCTTGAAGGGTTCACTTCCATTTCTGTCTCATCAAATATAATAGTTGCGAATTTCAGGTGTAAAAATTGAGCCGTTTGCAAAACTCTTGATATAATCGACCTTAAAACCGTCAAAAGAACATTTTCTATTTTCAAAATACTCTAGATAACACAGATTACGACAGTGAAATGAAAAAAAAGTGGCATTGTCTTTACTGCGAAACATGCCCATTGAAATGGCTGGAATAGAAATTCTCTAAAACTGTTTGAAGTTTTCGGACGTAACCTTATAAAAGAGCTGATGTAAACTCTAGATGTTATTTCAAGTACAAACACCCAAATTCAGAAAAGGAAAACATGTTTACTCGGGAGTCTGGGTTCCTTTTAAATTATTTTTAAGCTACAGTGGAGTTAAAAATTTCCTGTGGATGGCAATGATTTGGGAGTGGTGGGAAATTTAATACGTCGGTGAAATAAAACTTGGTCCTCATGATGTCTGACAGGGTTAAATTTGAGTAGAAAAGGGGAGAAGGAGCAGGAAGAGGATAATTGTCTTTTGGGAACGCTAACTGCGGACCATCAAACGTCACCAAACTCTTGGGAAAGTCACACGATCCCTAAAGACGATAAAACCCCACTCTACACGAGTCAGTGTGATGTGTTTAATGAAACTCCCACACTCTCGGGGTGTAGTTTGACACTTTTTAATGTTCAGTCGAGTTTTGTATATATGTCTTGTGCCATTTTTTTGAATGGTTAAGGTCCATTATCGGCGTTCACAGCTTAAAACCTAATTGTTCGTAAAGTATCTCAAGCTGTGAAACTATGTAGTAGGAATCTTTGAAAGCAGTCTCGTGTTGTTGGAGCTGTTTTTTGCTCAACATGTGATAAATCTCCTCCTAAATAACCGATCATTAAGTACACAAAAGGTAACCACTTTTGAGTCATGGGCCACATTCCAGAAATTTGACTTTTGACTTATCAATAAGTTGGCAATTATCAGGGGCTGGGATGCTTGGACTGATGCGGCGTAAAAATAACCACATAATCTTGTCTCTTCAGAATGTCCTGAGTTACGGCATCTGACACGTGTGTTTTTCATCCGCAGTAAAAGTGCTTAGCTCTAAATTGGTTTTATCACTTTTTACAGGATTTTCCTGCCACTTTGCCGAAACGGCATAATTTACTCCAAAAGGGAGCAGAACCGCTCGACCTATTCAAATTGGTCAGTTCTTAGGTGAACTCGGGTTCATAATTATGGAAGTTGTAGAACCAGCACAAGAGGAATAAGATATGGCAGGAATAATCAAAGTTACTGTAACTCTGATGTACTTCGCAATATATTACTTCCTAATGCCTTGACTTCCAACTTGTTAATCACTGGAATCATTTTTTAGTATTACCTCTTAGTTAATATCAAAATAAATGATTCCATATATTAGGAAAGAACTCTAGAAGTGCAGTATCACTATAATGAAGCGTTATAATTTTCATTACCGCTTTTTAAGTGAGCCCACGTTAGGAACCACCGCACATCTATGATAGAGTATGAGGATAGAAGAGAACAAGGTTACAAATTTCATTAAGATTAAGAATTTGATTCTTAGGCATTTACAGTACTGGAATAATTCTAACTACCACTGGAAAAATTGTTCACCATTTACCTTTCCCCTTGACACGGAATCGTCATCCTTGACATAGAACCTGACAACAGGTTTGGTGTAGTTGAGCCCCTCTATGACCGTGATGTTCTCCTGCACAACTAGACTTGGCAGATTATCATTGACATCCTTCGTGACAACTGTGAGTGTGGTAGTGCCCGAGCGTTTTGGTGTTCCGTTGTCCGAGGCTACAACAATCACAGTGAAGCGTCGTTCGCTGTAGACCTCGTAGTCTAGAATCGAGTTCAAGTAGAGAGCACCCGAGCGGCCGTCGATGGAAAACTTCTCAAATACTTTCGGTTCGTTTAGAGGACTCAATGAGTAGGTTATAAGACCATTGTCAACTGAATCCATATCTGTGGCAAGGAATCTGTACACAGGATCAGGTGAGTATGTTGTATTCTCAGCTAATTCGATATTGGAGATATTGGTCCTATCAAACACTGGAGTGTTGTCGTTAATATCCATGAGAACCACAGTGACAGAAAGGGATCCCGTCAGTGAAGGCTCACCTCCATCTATTGCAATGACAATTAGTTCGAATTCCTTATCAGCGGGGTTCTCATAATCCAATTCACGTAGTTGAATAAGGGTAGGAGGTGAAAGTCTCCATCCATGGGATTCACTCAAAGGATTAATCAGCACTTTCTCGTAGGTTAATTGAAAGAGATCTGCTGAGGGTGAGTTTGCCTTGATGCGGTACTGAACCACTCCATTGCCTGCGCTGTCCAAATCCACTGCGGAAGGAAGCATTTCGCGGGCGAATTTGGCACCCTCTTGTACGCGAATGGTAAAGTGAGGATAGCCCTGTGAGTTCAAAGGAAATTGTGGCGAGTTGTCGTTAATGTCAGCGAGGTGGATTTGAAGGTGCGCCAGCACTTGGTCGTGCGAATGCATCATGGAATTCTCGCTTTGTTCCACGATGAACATGACTCTTGCATGGATGATGCAAATGGCTGACTGACAGCAATCCAGAGGTCCACATATGTCATTGACGTTGTCACGGTCAACGAACTTTTGCGCGACTATGCTGCCATTCTTTGTAATGGAGAAGTATTCATTGAAGCGCTGGAAGCGAGAGGAGGTCACCACAATGAGGGAGAAGACGATGCTTGATTTGGGCCAGAGGGCGTGACAGATGTTGCCCACCGTCTGACCCGGCTTGATCTCGTCTACCATTTGAAACGTGGCAGAGGGTAGGGATGTTTCAGAAGTTTTGCCGCTGATAAATTGATCCCATGTCAAGAGAAGGAGTGAGAGTAACCTGAAAGTAAAAATGCATTAGGATTTTATTAGAGATACTGATTCATTCAACTTAATCACGATTATTTCACTATTTCATTAGTACTAGATATAAGGGAAGGAAAGTAGACAAACGGCTTACACATTGCGATAGCGCTGGAATAATTGCACGTATTGCACACATTAAGTGTTTGGCACCTAGCAGCCATTACTCTACGCATCTTACAGCCACGCTGCTTAGACAAATCTTGCTCCTTCGTTTCCCCACCTCATCTACTCACCTCTTGAAATATCATACCACCTCCAAGATCTACCAACAGTTCTGCGCCATCGTGGTAAAACAGCAAGCATAACTCTTTCTAACGCTTATTTCAGTTGGTGTTCTGCTGTTACTTCCATAGCCTTATGACAAAATGATTTCTTAAATTGAAAACAGATTCTAAGGTCCAACCGAAGCCAACATGGAGCATTAGAAATTTAACGAGGACGCTATTTAGCTAAAGATGCTTCTTCTGCCCTAAATCAAAGACTTTTCCTCAACTACTGCTGCTTTGAAGGGAGACAGGAATTTAATAAACATAAATTATCTACCTACTTTACCTACTCACCGTCGCGCACGCAGCTAGCTCGGGATAAATTGAGGGAAAGAGGAGGTAAGAAGGGGGTTGTGGTGGGTTACCCTGATGGATTTTAACTGAGTGTGCAAAGACGCCTTTATTTAAAAACTAGGCGGGCAGGATACGTGTTCCGTCGCGTTTCTTTTAATTAGGGTATCCTTGTCTTTTAAATGCGGATTGCGGATGATAGGCACTCTACTTGTGCTCATTTTATATTGGAATTAAATCTTATCAAGGGAATTTAAACAACAGTCCTTCTGCGAGTCCACATTACCTTTAAGAAAAAATGGATTTTGTGGATTAGAGTAGAGGATGGTCACTAGAATGCGGGGGATAACTGGTAATGAGGAAACGGAAAAAGAAAGTGGAAACATACATAATAAGGTAGAGCCGTCTCAGTGCCATCTATCAGCGCGGTTTTCCTGAAGGGACGCCGTCCTTAAAGCAAACTGACATAGACATTCCATCCGCCCAGCTCTCACCTCAACCCAGGCATGGCTGGTCATACGGCCGCACGAATGGCATATTGTCATTGGCTGGCGAGGGCACGCGTGTGCGTGTGAGTGCAAGCACGCGCCCGCGCACACATACCCAGAGGTCGAGTTCGAGACCGTAGTGTTGGATTACAGGGCTCTGGTCTGCTCTGTCTTTACCCTCGATATCAAAAAAATATTATTTAATGTTTGCGTGTTTAATTTATTTCTCCTTTCAGAGGCTAGACACTTTGACACTTCCTGTAACTGATTTTGAAGCAGTTCTACTTAGTGAGCAAGAAAATACACTGATATTTGCAATCATGAGAACAAAGTAGACCGTTTTTTTTCTCAAAATCAAAAAAAAATACTTTATGGCAAAGAAATCTAAGCCTTTAGAAAAGTAACAATTTGTCGACAGGCGAAAATCCAAACTATTTTCATTCTCCGTCTCAATGTCAGTTCCATCGATTCGGAAGTTAAAATATTTCGCCTAAATAATTTTGTTCAAAGCACGCATAAATCCCAAAAGATATCCACAATGAAGCTATTTCATATTGCTATTTGGTAATCAAATAATAATAGACTACTATTTGTTTCTTATTTCCAAAATACAAAGATTTAGGAGAGTATAACCCTTGTGATTTTTAATTAGCTTAAAAATTCAGGCTTCCTGAATTCCGACAAATGATAGAACTGTATTTTTAAGTAAAATTTCTCACAGTGGAGAGATGGTAATTGGGAGGTAACTGTGAGCACAGTCACAGTTCTCTGCTCTTGGAATGAGTTGAGCACATTTCCCTGGGATAAATTACTGCTCTCCTATGGTAACCAATGTAGCGATGTGAACTGCATGATTCCAAACAAGTGGTTGTTCACAAATTTTGAAGGGTCTGTATTACGTTCTCAAGAAACGTATTAACGCCTGAGAGAACACGCATCGATACAATTCAAAACCATCAAAGTATACTGTCCAAAATCATACTCGCTTCCTGGAGCAATCCCCACTTCTAAATAAGTAACTGATTTCTAATCCCTCACAATTTTTTTTTCCAGGGTGAATGACTCTTTTTATACCTGTTAACGTTAACACCTGCTTTTGATGGTGCAATCTTTTTATAAAATTGTAAATATAATTATTTTAAGCTCGATAAATGAATTTAATAATGCATTTTTAAAAACCTTTTATTGAAATATTTCTGCGAAGAGTAATGTTTCGACTTGGCTTGTGGTATTAAATGCAATTCATTGAATTATTTCAGCCAAATATTGTGTGCACCTAAAAGGATGTTTTATGTTAAAATGCTTTACCTGGAAGTCTCGGGATAGCTGTAATTTTTCCACGAGAAATAGGAGAGATCTCAAAGGCAAGACGGTCAAATTATCTTCTCCACTTAAACTCGTTTTGAAAGTCTCATTTAACAAGCCATTTTTTACAATTCGCGTCAGTTACTTCAAGTACTTTAATGCCATCAAAATGGCATTTAATTTGGCATTCGTGACGGTAAACAACACCACGGTCATTGTCAATGTTCTTCAATAACCCACAGAAATTTGAATGAGACTGCGGTCATTGGGAGAGATTGCCATCTCCGTTATAAAACAAAAGAATGGGTGTACGTGTTGAATTGAAATGCTTTAGTCGTTGTTGAATCGGCCGCATGGAGTGGAAGAGTTAGGCTAATTGGTTTGTTTACTTTTGATAACCCCCTTTTCATAGACAGTCCAAAATGGAATGGGTCACGTAATCCCCACATATATGGAAGTTTGGAGGAAGTGTTCAGAGGGATTTTTGAATGTACCCTATTCCCCATCCAGTACGGCTAAAATTTTTCTTTCCCAAGACAAAGTCTCAATGATAATCCATTTTAATGATGACTTGTAATGAATAAAATCACAATCACCATTATTTTTTTATTTTGAAGATGTAATCTCACAATACTTGGACAAAAGACTTTTATTTTTCTAGTAATTTAAGGAATAGTTAAAGAAAGACTTCCAGGATGAAAAATAATTCCACATACTCTTAACAACTAAACCTTTTGAGCTGGTTTTTAAATACACTCTACCTTGTAGCTATCGACCAGATTCCCTTGCAAAAGGGTTAAAAAACGCTAAAAAGGAGAGGATTAAAATAATCAAGACTAAAGTGCATTCATGGAACATGAAGAAATTTATTCTAGTGCCTATCATGTTCTCTGTAGTTTCGCAAAAAAACCTTCTTCTTACCGACATCAAATCGAGAGCAGCCACAATCCTTTGCTGTCATCACATGCGGGACTGACGCAGATAGAAATTCATGGCAAATGCAAAAGCATAGTTTGATTGCCCTATAACTATGGTTTCAAACCTTGCTTCATCCGTAAAGTACATCAGAAGGTATTAGCTTTGTTTAAGTTTCGATATCCACTTTATTTATGGGCTTTATTTGAAAAGTTTTCCAGACTATTATCATTTTCTGACATCGTCAGCACCTCCTACTTTGATAAATTAATGAACAGATATTTAAAATGGCGAAAGTGAAACACCGTTTTTCTGATTATTCTTGGATTGACTGCACTTGAGCTCAGATTTTTAGTTGACCTCCTTCATTAGAGGACTGTGACACCGGCCAAAGGGCTGGGCAGGGTTACGGGGAGAAGCTGGTATCAACCAATGGAAATAAGCTAATTCCCCTTAGGTATACCATTAGCATGAATCCACATTGTACAAAAAAGCTTCCTTCAGACAGATAGATCTAGACTGAAAACTTTTACCTACCGTATTTGCCAGAACACGATACATAAATCGACTACTACGCCTTTGAAGCATTGGAACATATTTTCTAAGCTGTAGCCATGCGTTTTAGTCAAGTCAAGAAGAGGAACTTCATCGCCTTCGGTCCATTAAACCCTTTGTCAACAATGGTTTCACTAAGAAACAATTAGGATGGCAAACCCGTAATACCACCAGTTTAAATTCATACTTAAGGCGATTGAGCAGCTTTTCCCTCCGTAGAACAGTATTAAATTTCAACCTAAAATTCAACTTTTCATTCTACATAGAAGCCGTTTCCTAAGCTTATTTCTCCCAGTTGATTGGTTCATTATAAATGAAGAAAACTTTGCAAAATCTTAGTCTGCAATTATCAAGAATTTGGATTTTTCATTCATTTAGACTATATGTATAAACGTGGTTGGCTGTTTTAGCGGCACAAGTATATTTGGACCTGTTAACGCAAGACTGAATAGAGGCGGAAGATTAAACGCTACCCGATCAGCTTTGGCTTGTTGCCATAATTAACAATCGTTCATTGTTGTTTTTTCATATGGTAAATGAGATGACGTTTGTCAAGTTCAAAATCGGTGAAACAAAACTTGACCGAACGCAGTTGGCTGAATCCATAAATTTTGGATAGACTGATTTCGCTTCTCGAAAGCATCCACTTTTCATGCAAATAAGGACGGTTTCTGTTAAGCAGACAAATGGAAAGTTCTAACAGCCTAAACTTAAAAGTCGCCTTGGTATAGGCACCGATTTTCAAGATTTCATGGTATTGCTTTCAGTCGATCAAAGTGATATGCATTTAGTAATACACTGAGGAAATCTAATCCTACCCTACCGCAGAAAACAGAGCATCCCTCCAATTTAAAGATTGGACTTGTTTAGCTTGAAGCGTTTCAATCCCGTGGTCGTAGAGATTGCAAAAGAGGCTTCAGTTTATTTTAAATCGTGAAACCTCTTTTAACTGCGAAGGTCACATCGGCGATTGAATACTAAAACATACCCATTCATCCTGTCTCCTCATCATACTAGCGAAAGCGCAAATCAATTGCAGGTAAGAAATAGGAGACAAATCAAAATGGAGTTATCCTCTATACCACGGCAACTTTCCTCAAGGTTTTATGCCACAAAAGTAGATCAAATCCAATGGACGAGGAAAAAGTGATGCTGAATATTGTTTGCATTGCTAATAATTTGAAGGTTATTTAGGTAACTGGGAGATGTTTATCGTCGATTAGAGAGAAGATGAGATGTGGTGGGGCGGAGTGGAGTGGAGTGGAATGGGTATTGTGGCATTATCACACGGACGATTTGGGACTAGTCACGCAAACCATCCACCTTCATCACAAAAAAGTCACTTACCAGACGAGGCTTAACTAAAATATCTGTAAAAATGACATTCCTCCTGCCAGGACACCTTAGCACTAATGGGTACACCGCACATGCGAACTGTTGCTAGAACCTCCAGAGATTTTGTCTCAGAAGGCCCTGGAGTCAAGCTCTGCTTGCGTTCTCTTTGTGCATGCATAATATACACAGGCACTGCAATCCCAACCAGAATTTATGTTTGGAACCACTTCAACAGATAAAATGTACACTAATTTACCAACTTATGTCCCCCATGCTGCATTAGTACTTTTATCCTTACGCTTATGTAAAACCTAGGAAGCAGCTTCGGCATTGGTGTATTTGTCGGCATGGCTAAACCACCATAGGAAAGCCTGCTTTACTTTGCATCAATGGTAAATCCACATACCTCCACTGCTTTGATGCTTGTCAAATGCACGCAAATGACTGTGATCACCACCCCTACGCTTGTTCATTTTTACGAATTCCCTTAGCAAGTAATTCTCAATAGTTTTTGTCACAACACCAGTAACTCTTGCACCAGTTGAGGTATGCAATCAGCAGCCAATTTTTTATTAATCTATTTGATCTAGGCAACGAATCTAAAAAATAACTCTTGTAGAGTTGGTTGGGTAGGAATTAGCCATATTGCGAAAATATTTTTCGGGAAACACGTTACCAAGCCGCAAACCTGTAAGCGCTTCTAAAATAAGCAGAAAATAATTTTACAGGGTACCGAGCTTTACGCCCGAATGCTTTGGGTAGTCGAAAACATTTTAACTTAGACCAGCCTAAGCGCATCCGAGACAGGTAAAAGGCGAGCTGAAACGTTGGAAATGGTTCCAACGTCAGGCGCTAGTCATTCCAATTATTGAAGATATGCCCACGTTTTTTTAATTTGCAATGTTTTCAATAAAAAAAATAAATTTATCAGATATGAAAATGCATTGAGCCCCACCAACGATACATGTATTCTAAGACAAAGCCTTGAGAAAGCTTTGAATCGAAAGCTGACAGTGCAATAGAAAGCAGATTTTAGCGGGATCGCAAAAACCACGATCATTCTGTCAGCTTTTGGCAACAGTACGTTTATGCTTCCAATGTTCATGTCAGCCGCTAATTCTTCATGCTCCTTGGAGCTACCTCGATAACTAGAGAGTTGTCTAGTAGCTTCGTTTTTTTATTTACAGTGATTGAAACCAGGAGCCTTTAGAAACTGGCGCCGAAGAGATTAAATAAGGAAACGGTAAGATTAAAAACATACAACTAATCAAAGCGCAGAAACAGATGGCTTATGGCAGCAAAATGCTTTTAAATAAACGCATTTAGACGTTTTTAAGCTCTCTTTTAATACCGTTCTGGATTGATTGGCTCTGGGTAATAGAGTTGCTATTAGAGATTTAGGTGGAAAATGACCACCAAAGCTCACAAACAACAAGTTTCAGATATGTAATACCCTTCAGAATTAGGGCACCCTACGTTTAGTCTACTGTTTTAAACTCACTCAAACCGATTGGTGCATTTGCCATCCACTGGTGCATAACACGTGTTGCATTCATGTGACCGGTGGTGGAAGTGAGGGAAGCTGCTGTCAGAAGGAATGTTGATAAATGTTTCAAATAAATTTTTCCCAAAAAGTACTTATTTAGTGCTGCATTTTAGTTGGGGTAAATCTACAAACAAAGATTCATCTTGTATTGTTTCAACTGTGAAAACCTTACAACAGAAGCTTGAGTTCACATCAAGGACGGTTGCAATTTGAGAGCCCTTGTGACAGCACTGCCTAACATAGTGTACAATTTGGCATCCACAGGATCAGTCCTTGATTCCTCTCAAAAAACCACTTCCTTCTTGACTTAATTCAGTGCCGTAATGACTTTAATTCCCAACCGCCGCAAATGTGACATTTGTCCCATCATAGGTTGCGAGGCGCTCAGACGCTTTAGCGGCCAGTGTCATTTCTGTTTGGCACTTGTGCATTTCATTCTTTCTTTCAAAAAGTTGTTGCTTCACGTCGTTTATAATTATTTTAACAGTCTCTGTGATGTGCCTGGAGTTTTAAGCATGTCTAAGCAATGACAATTACTGCCTAATTTACTAGGCATTGTTTTGACAAACTTCCTTCGCATGCTTTAACCTAATGCCCCGTTCTCCATTGCTTTCACTATCACATTTTGCCCCTAAAAGTCCCCTTCTTTATTTTATTAGACTTGCTTAAACTACTTAGGTGCATTCAATTGAATGTAATATCCCCAACTATTCTCTCGTTAAACGGGTATGCCACCAGTGGCCAAGAAAAATCAAAGACCGAAGTAATTGGTGGATCGAGAGTAAGGCTAGTGAAATAAAATATGTCGCTGGAATGATTTGAAAATTGGGTTTTAGTGATGCAGATCTTGAAACGAACCACGTTTTTGGATCCTGAGGTTGAACATTTTCAGGAAAATGTAGCAAAACTAAGTATTTTTAAAACAGGAACACGATCAAACTAGACGAAGCACAAACTGTTAATCACGAAATGTTGGTAGCCAACGTTGCGCACATGTGACACCTGAAATCGCCTACCCGAGCCCGCACCCCACACATACAGCACACGCACCTAAGGGGAAGTAAAAGCTAAACATAAAGCAACAAAGCTTTTGAGCTATAACACTCTATTTTTACGGAAATCCGGTGCCGTTCTCGGTAAGACGGATGGGAGTTTGTAGTCATCCATTTTAGGTCGTCTGCCACCCGGTAAATTGACTACGGTAACTGAGCAGGTTTGCACTAAAAAAGGCTACGCCTTCAAGTGAGAAAAGTGTGATCCCATCCCTTCATAATTTCAATGTTCACTCGACTATATATCATACTAAAACGCTTCTTAAGCCGCTTTGAATTTTAGTTGAAAGTCAAAGCAAAGAAGAACCTATTTTGATGCCAGTCTTTACTAGTTATTTGGAATCTTTTCAAGTCTAATGACTAAGTTTATCCTTATTCTACACACAGGTATGAGGAAATTTCATCAGGAAATTCGACACTTTGGAGGGCAAATCTATCACCTTTAGTTTGCCTCTGCTGACTTAAGGCTTTACGGAAGGACATTAGAAGCTTTAATTAAGATGTAATGTCTTAACTAACCGGAGTTCTACACTTGTCTACCTTTCCTCATGAGCCGTTTTGAGTCATATTTTCCAACTTTCTTCCCTAACCTACTTAACAGTTCTGGAACTAGTAAGCCGAAAGCGCTTTAGAGAGGAAAAGTCGCCCATATATGCTCCAACCAAAGGTATCTGTTTAACTCTTAAATGACTATCCCAGTGAAATCGGAAAAGTAATTAGTGTTTTGAATAGCTGAGTTGTAGGTATTTTCGTGGATATATCCCACTCTCATGTGGCCTGGACAAGAGAGCACGTACAGTAAATGTTCCTTTTTAGATCGCTGATAGCCGCACAACACTGGAAGACAAAAAAGCAACACGAAACGCTTCCTGGCTGAACGCGATTAGCGTGACCAGGCACAGGCACGGGTAGAGTGGTCCTGCTCACACTACATCACGGATGAATCTAAATATTTCAACAATGAAGGCTGTCAACCCTCAGGGCTTTAAAAATTATTTTACACTGAACAGACCAAAGCTCCGTCTCGTGATTTCTTTTACTTCTGTGAGAGTATTTTGGAAGCTTTGAAATTTTTTTGCCATGTTGGAACAGGTTATTGAGGTCTGAACTAGAGACCTGCGTCAAGGTTAAGTCCCTTCTTAAGAGAGTTTGAGAAATTAATGGAATTTTTCAAATCTTGTAGGTGATGTAAATACAAGGTTATTAATCAGGGACCCACTTTATCTGGATTAGAAGACTAGTGCCAACCCATCTCATGTTTATCTTTGAGACTGGACTAGTCAATCTCTGAATGCTTTATCGACATTCTTAAGGATTCTCAAAAGCTTGGAGCACTTTTGTTGAACAGCCTTAATTTGTGTCCATTTTGAATCCAAAATACCGACTTATTACATTTAATTAAGGTCGTAGACACTATTTTAAACTATATTTCAGCAGAATGCCGCATAAAAACAAACCGAGTGTTAAATGAAACCTTTTTCATCCTAATTGGCTCATTCAATCTAATCGGATCAAGATAGCGGTTAAGCAAAAAAAATTGTTCAAAAAATCGAGGTTTCGTTCATCTAATAAGTGGAAAATTTATCTAGCATAGGAATCTTTCCAGAACTTGTCAGGTGTCAACCCTCCCAAGGACTGAGTTTTTCGCGTAAATAATTAAGACGCGTTAGTGCTGAAGCAGTAGAAACTGTTGAAAAGTTTTGGAGGCAGGTTTTTTTTAATGCAATATTCTAGTATGATTAGAATTGGCAAAGATACCTCTATTGTCCCATAGTAAGGATTCATATCTGCAAAAATTTAACAATATGGTGAGGCTAAGCACCCCTGACACAGTTTCGCTTTAAAATAATTGCAAGGATGAAGTCCTAACTTTGAGTGAGGATGACCCTCTAAATTTGTAAAGGATTTCAAGAATTATTCGCTATGAAGTGGTTTTTTTATAATATAGATCCACCAAGGGGAAGTGGGAATAAAATATTGTGGAATTTTGGTTGTAAATAATTTCACCGCAGGCTGATTGGTTGAGGCGAATATTTTGCTAACCCCGCTCTCTGATGAGTCGTCGGTTTTTACAGGCGGAAACTGCAAGACGAGTGCAAATCGTAAAGTTTTGAGTCGGCAAGGAGATGAAAGCTTTTGTCGACAAAAAATTATTAACTCGCTTATTAAGTAAATTGATGGTAATATCTGTAGGGTGCAGTGGTAACTTGATGCCGCCGCCGCCGCCCTCTCCGAATGCGAGTTAATCAAGTAGGCTTAGAAGCTTTAGCAGTAACGCTGTACGAATTTAGACCATTTACAGAGAAAAATCATGTTTAGCTTGGTGTTTAATCATATCCTTGGACGTAAACTTGCTAAGTCACTTTTGAGAATAACAAATTTTCCTTAAATTTTTAATCATGAAACATCAAACGTCGATGATGGACACAAGTTCTCTAGGAATTCCTTAGTGCAAATAACGTTGAAAATACAGAAAAAAATAATCAAGGGGAGTGTATGAGTGGCTCTAAATTTTATTAAGTCATGATGGAATCGCAAAGTGAGTCAATTGTGAAAATATGGTTTGTTCAATTATAATTGTTTAACAGGATGGGCGAAACGGTTTGTGAGTTACTAAGCCGCAAATATTGCCTCAAAAGTGAATGCCTGTCTATGTTTTGTTAACCAGCAAATTTTACAACCGGACACAATAACTGGGTCAAAATGTGAGCTCTGACATAATCACATACTAAGTCCTTCTCACAATACAATAGGCTAATTTCGTTGTTTAACGATAAAATTTGTATTTGCGGGAAAAATGTAGAATTGAATACAATCAAGCTGTCTAGAGCCTCCAGTTTTCATGCGAACAATGTATTGAGTGCTTAAACATCCAAAACCCTCTTATGACAAAAACTGTCACTTTTGGAAGAATCAAAGTCTGAATTTGTATTCAAAATACGCTGTCTGTGCAGCTGGGCAGAATTGATAAAAAAGCAGCCACACACCGGAACGTATTCGCTAATATATATCGGTGATGATGGATGTTCTATGGGAAATGCAGGCCTACATATCGAATTCAGGCAGTGACAACACTGGGAGGGGTGGCTTTGGTGGTGATTTTATGTAGGAATGTGGAAACGGGAGCATTGCTACTCAAGTGGTCTTCCTGATCTGGCTGCTTGTGCGTTCAGCTGTTTGGCCGCTGTCGTCTATCTGAGTGCAAAATCGCTTCACTTATATTACCAAATATCCCAATTAGCTTAGGGACATTAGGCTATAACTTGCAGGTATGTGGACGCCCTCACTGGCCTGTGTGTGGCCAAAATGGTCAACTGCTAAAGTGAGATCGGGTGGAAATTTTTTGATGAAAAATCAGTAGATCTAAAATAACATGCAAAAGCAGTCAGTAAAGTGATAAACTAAAATGGCAGTTTTATCTCAAAGTACCTTATTTTAAAATATGTATTTCGTGGGCATTTTGCACTCTCATGTAATAATTGTGAAGCAATTGCGTTGTTTCAAAAGACGTGGTATTAGTTAATGATGGACATGATGACGAAAATTAAAATCGACACTCATGAAAGCGTCAATGCAAAGGTAGTTGCCATCGCTCTTCAGGGGTAAGAGAGACAATACAATGCGAACTTCATAGACAATTAGATTGGTTGGAAGTAGAATGCGTGAGGTTAGCTCACTTAAACTGGAACCTCTTGCTTACTAAAACGGGGCAAATTTCAAGGCTAGGGTAGAATGCATTTATTTTTTCTCGCATTCTGCAGCTACATCCATGCGATTGTTCAGAATGTAAATAATACCCATAACACGACTTGGCCCCATAAACTACCTTAAAAAGTCTACTTCACTTTGCCATCGGAGCTGGGATGCTTACCTCCGAAGTTCCACTTAAGGAATCAAAGCTGGATTAGTGTGCATTAAAATTTCCCTCTTTTTCTGTTGATTTATTTGTCTCAACAATTTTATTCTGTGACATATAAAAAAAAACAAAACACTAGAGTACCACATTAAGAACATGGTACTTAATAAGAGTAATTTATCTTCCCTTGATACATGGTTCATTCTCCGAAGACAAATTATTTTTGCTGTCTGTACTAAGAGACACTCTTAGGCAATACGTTGGTTGTTTGTTTAACTCTTGGTTTTGGAAAAAAGCCACCATGGGTCTCCACCATTGTCCCTTCGTCGGGTT